ACCATGACAACACTGACGACCCACGCCATGGGCGCATATGCTGCCCCCCACAAAACCTCCCTTTTGACTCTGCCCCACACTATACCCATAACCTCTTTCTATAAATGCCACCCCATAACATTCGAAATCTAAGAGTCATATTGTATTTTTTTTCTTTTTTTTTTAAAAAAAAAGCACACACGCACCTATATTTGGGGTTGCTTGATTTAAGGAAAACATGGCCGCCGGAGCTGCCAATGAATTTTTCCGGTCGCTCTACGAAAGTTGCATATCAGGCAGCGACATCATTATTGAGCGCCAGCCATACCTCCGGAATTGTCACTGTGCACTCCACGACAAGGCGCTAAGGAACTGTCCCCATGCATCCCCTAAAAGCAAGAGCGTATCGTACCCTATAAGGAGAGCTTGGAGTGAAGAAAGCATGGCTATGGAGGCGGCGGCGTCTTCTTGCCATTCTTCATCGTCTTTGTCGTCGGCTTGGGGTGGGAAGAATCGGTTGGGACCGTGTAAAGAAGAGGAAGAAGACGTTCTGGGGGAGAACTGGTAAAGTATGAGAATGAATACGAAATTAAGCAAGTTTGGATCGATACTTGTTGATTGACAAAATATCGGAAGATGGTGCTTTGTAAGTCATAGAAAGTAATTAGATAATCAATGTTAAGTAAATTCGAGGGGATATCAAATACGAGTGTATGTTTCGTACAAATATTTTAATTCTTTTTTTTCATATAAGTATATTTGTGTTTAATTATTTTTTTTCATATATAGTAAGTACAAAGTAGTCTATGTTAAAAGATAAATTCTCAATCATTTGACATTGAACATTCAAGGAATGTCGACATTCCTTTATCGTCGTAGTCACTTGGTTTGTGCAATTTGTGCTTAATTATATATATTAATCTCTCATAAATAAATTATATATCAAATTTGTAACATGTAAATAGAAAAAAAAAATAAGAGTTAATTGTACCATATTCTTAAACTAAAACCTTCATTTTAAATCGATTTATGATTTTTTTAACATCTAAATTGATCTTTAAACTTTTGAACATTTTAAATTCATCATCAAATTTTGACCTTAATTCTACTTTACTACCCAAACTTTTGAACATTCCAATAATATCCCAAAATCATTCAAAGTTTTGGGGATGAAATTGAAATGTTTAAAATTTTAAGAACCAATTTATAATAAGGTCATAATATGTTTTTAAGTCTGAAAGAGGTCTTCGGTTCGAGACATTAAAACTTGGAACAAAGCGTGTAGTTTTCAATTGATAAAGTCCATTCTTGCTAGGGAGGGATCCTTTTGGGTGGCATGGATCCATGCTTATGTCCTAAAAGGGGTAAACTTCTGGCAGGCTGAAGTGGGAATGAATATTAGTTGGAGTCTTCGAAGATTGATGAAAATGAGGCATGAAGCTTATCTTGTCCTTGCAAATGTGGCTGAGAGTGCTACTTCGAAGGCTACCTGGTTTTGGGAGCACATCAGGATCAAAGGTGCCAAGGTTATTTGGTAGAAATTGGTATGGTTTCCCCTGCATATAACTAAGCATAGTATCATTTCTTGGATGACCTTGTTAGGGAGGCTTCCTACTTGTGATAGATTATTGCATTGGGGGCATGCAGGTTGATGGCAGATGTTGTATTTGTAATGATGCTATGGAGTCCATTGATAATTTGTTCTTTGAGTGTCCTTTTGCTAAGGATAACTGAAGGGTTGTCTTGAGGTTGTGTAGATTGACTAGGCAGATCAGATGTTGGAGGGGGAATTGGAGTGGGTTGTTGCCAACCTCAAGGGGAAATCCTTGCTCACCATCATCCTCAAACTTGTTTGGAATGCCCACATATATTTCAAACGGGAGGAAAGAAACTGTAGGTTATTTCGTGGGAAGGTAAAGAGGAGCTATTGCCATTTTCTCTTCTATCAAAGAAGTAGTTGGAATTAAATTGCAGGGATGGAACATAGCCATGGTGGATAACATTAATTGCAACCTTTGTAATAATTGGGGTATCTTTGTTGAGGCCTTTAGTGATGTTTGTCGTTTGTATTTTGTAGTAGTTTTTTATTTACTTTTTTTGTGTGTATCTGTAGTAAGTTTGTTGCTTCTTTAGGTAATATAAAGCATTTATCTAAAAAATATACTGAAATCGATTTTAAATAAGATTCATAGTTTGAGATAAAATTGAAAAACTCAAAAAATTAGGGATGAATTTAAAATGAGGGTCAATGTTTTAAAATGTATAATACAATTAACACAAAAATAATAATGAGATAACTTATCTAGATTTGACTAAGATTTAATTTCAAGTTTAGTTGATATCTATGTTTAAATAACTATTTTAGTTATTAAACTTGTAAAAGTTATAGAACAACTATTAAAGTTTATTAAAATATTATAAAATAATCATTAAATTTATTAAAATTTTATAATTATCATAAAGTTATAATGATCATATTGTAACAGTTTGATAAATTTAATGATCATAAAATAAAATTATTTAATAAACTTTAATGACCTTTAATACAGTTTATCCATTAATATTTGGCGCAGTAGACCCCACCCCAAGAAACGTGGAGCATATAATGTTTCCAAGTGGGCGTCTTGTGAAACGCGTTGTGTTATATTCCTTTTTCTTTATTTATCTTCGAGAAACTTCCTTAATTATTACATACCAAAATTTTACTTGCCATCCCTATTACCATTTTTCTGATGAAACGGAACCGCACCCTTTAATTGTTTTTTTTCTAATGGTAATTTTAGTTCTTGAGAACTGAAATCTTTTAAAATTAATTTTTTTAAAAAAATAAATTAAATATTTATTAATTTTAAAGTTAGATAATTTTATTCCTTATTGTTTAATTTTAATCCTGACCTTGTATATTCTCTTCTGTTTTTTTATTTTTTTAATTTAAATTTGATGACACTCGTATATTTTAATCAAAAACAATAACACGGGTTAAAAGAACAGTTAATATATTATTGAGTAGTTTTTAAAAATTATTATTAACCATATATTATAATATATATATATATATATATTATAAATGTATACAGTCATATTACATCAAATAAAAGAATTTGGTGACAATTTAAAAATTATTGTGATATAAAAGTATAAAGCAATTAAAATGGACTATGATCCTTGCGTTGAGGAAGATCTAACTATAAAATCTTGATGTGGTTTATATATGGTTGACTGCTCTTTTCAATGATCCTGTTACTGTTAGCTACTTAATTATGTTTATATATCTTTTTGCACGAGTTGTGAAGGATACTAAAATAAATTCTAGTAGGTTCCTCCATTTTTTGGAATCCAAATATGTAAAGAAACTAATAATTGATGTTTAAAATATTTTTTGGTGATTTGGTATAAATAATGTCCAGAAGAAAATACTTATGAAGATGGTGGTAAAGCTGGCTTAAGGTGGTGTACACATGGGTTAGTGATAGTGGTTCAATCATCAATGCAATATTAGACGAGAGGGCACATGACCCACTCACTACCTCAAATATATTCCATTTTGTAGTATAGGATTCTATTTCTTTCAATTAATTTTTTGGTTGAACCTGCATTGATTAGGAGTGTTTATTAGTGAATATTGAATACTTGCGTAAATTAAACAATATTAGTGATTAAATAGATGATTGTAATTTTTACAAATCTCAAATTCTAACATGACCCATCTAGGGGTGTTTGAACATTTTTACTCATCACACAATACACAACGAAAATATTCATTAATTGATATAAACTAATTATCATGAGGGTTTGAGTGTTATTGTTAAATGATTAAGAATCTTTTGAACATATATTACTTTGTAATCACCTCTAACTATTAAAAAAATATCAAATACTTACTCTTCAAATACTCGTAAAAACTGAATAGTCATATTTTCAAGTTATAAGTATCCATTTCATAATTATATTTATATTTGTAAAATTATATTATTTTTTCGAATAATTGAGAAATAATTTAGAAGGTTATGATGAAATAAGTTGAGAAATTAGATATTTATAATGTTAGAATGAAATCATTTGAGAATAAGAATGAAAAATATAATAAAAAGAGAATCATGTTGTCAAATACCCGCTAAGATAGATATTACTGCTCATGGGTTGACTCGTGAATCCGTGAAACTCAACCTAAAAATATTAAAAAAATCCGTTTATTTATATCAAAATTAATGAATCCGAATATTTATAAAATCTATATTTAAATTAGAATTAATTGATTAATGACTTAAATAAATAATTATAAAAAATAAAGACAATACATTAAATGTGATCTATTAAAGAAATGAATTAAAATCTTAACATGTGCTTGTAGACATTTATATTTATTAAAAGAAAGTAAAAGAAGTTGGGTGTTAGCCGTTAGGGTAGGGTTAAGAAAATAGAGCCAAATGGTGTTAGGGTAGCGCTGTGGATGGATTCCTGGCCGACCTTGGGATGATATAATACCAAAAGTAAGGAAAACAAAGTTGACTGAACGCATTGCATTCAACTAAAAACCTAGCTGTCAATGAGAGCCGCCGCTTCCTCCTCATTCTTCAACTACACCTCGCCTCGGCTCCTTCCATGAACCCACATCCCCATCTTTCCACGCCTACGTTTAGAGATGTATATGGTATTTTAATTTGACTGTTTTTGCTCGATTTATTTCATCAAGTTGTTTATTTAAACTTAAGTTATTGTTAGATAAATTTTTCAAAGATGTGGACCTATTAGATTTGCGTGAAAAAATGATCTGATATAATATTATAATTTTTATATATTTAAAGATAATTATAATAATATTATTTTATATATTTCTTTTTTAATTAAATTGAGTGGAGTCTTTTTAAATCCAACATATGAGCATCCTATACGTTTCCTAAGAAGCTAACCGAGCTAACAAGCCGAGCCGTTCTTTTCCCTAATTCCCTGTAAGCCATCTTCTTTTGTCAGCATTTAAAGAGAACAACTAAAACCAGCTCCTTCGTTTCCTCTCTTCTTCATCTTTCTCCCACTTTCTTCCCTCTTTCTCCATATACATATAAACTCTCGAAGAACAAAAGGAGGTTGAGAAAATAGAAGAGAGAGAGAGATCAGAAATGGCCACTGGAGCAGCTGCAGTCGAGACGATGCTCCGGTGCGTCCTCGAAGGAAGCTTATCGATGCAAGAAATGGAAGTGGAGCGCCGCCCATATCATCGCAACTGCAGCTGCGCTTTACACAGCTTAAAAGGTAGTGTTTGCTCTTCCGCTTGTTCCCGCACCAGGAGTATATCTTTTACCAAGAGAAGGACCTGGAATGATTCTTCCTTGACAGTGGCCAATTCTCAATTTTCTTCTCCATCTTCTCTTATTGGAAGCTCTTCTGTAAGGAACATGGAATCAAAGGCATCGACGGGGTTTTATTGGATAGATGATTTTCAAAATATGTGCGAGGGTAGGAGATAAAGATTTGATTTCTTTTTTTATTTATTTAGATGCATTAGATCAAAATTCTTTCAGGCACAACATTCCTGTAAATTCGATTCAATTTATTGTATTTTGAGCAAAAGAAAAATAGCAACGAATCTGTCACCATTTAATTTTCTCATTTCTTCCACATGCGTCCATTTCATGAAGTGTTTACAGCAGATCTGTTGTACCTTGTATAAAGATTTGCATTAATTTTAATCTGTCAAATTTGTCCATTTCCCTCCTTATTTAATATCGTTTGCTCCAATTAAAAAAAAGTGTAAACTACGCATTTAATATTCAAATTAATAGTTTTAATCCGTTTAAGTACACAAATATTTATTTTTTTCAAAACAATATCTAACATTTTATTTTTATTTCATTTTAGTATCCCGCCATTAAAAACTTAACGGACTAACGGACGCGGCATAACTCAAGTGGATGGACGACCAATTTGAACGGTGGACCACGAGAGAATGACGAGTTGACCAACAATCCAACATAGTTTAGTTTCATGCCCATCGGACGGTGGACCATGGAGATTGGAGGATGAAGAAATCGAAGAGTCTATTGTCAATTTAGTGATATTGAGGTGTTTTCCGTTGAAACGGATGTCGAAATCGTGTTTAGGGGGTCGAAAAGATTTGGGTTGGAATGTTTGGACTTCATCGGTCGACAAATGTGACAGTTGCTGACTATAGACGTGGCGACCGACGAGCATGTTCTTTAAGTTTTTAACGGCGGGTACTAAAATGAAACAAAAACTAAATTTTAGGTATGATCTTGAAAAACTAAAGTTTAAGTACTAAAACATATCAAAATTGATATTTTAAATACTAAACTCATAGTTAACCCTTAAAAGAAAAGGAAGGTAAAGAGATCGGCCGTTGGATGAAAGATAGATTTAGAAGAATTAGTAACAACTATACAAAAGGGTCACTAAATTTTTGGGTTGTTCTAATTTAACCATTGAACTACAAATTTTAATAATTAAATTATTAAGTTATTAAAATAACTTCAATTAAGTCACTAATTGTTAATTATTGATGAAATTATTTACGTAATATTTAAGTAAATTTATATAATTATACATTTGGTTCTCATTATTTATATATTTATGTTAATTGTTATTTAAAGATTATAAAATGATCATTGTATTTATCAAACTTTTACAAAATGATCATTCGATATTATAAAATTTTGGTAAATTTTGATTAGTTTAAGAACCATTTTTCTAATAGTTTGATAAGTTTGATGATCATTTTATATTAGTTTGATAAAATTTAACGACCATTGTGTTATCATTTGAAAAAGTTTAATGTTAATTTTACAATTCAATGACCAAAAAAATTATTTCAATATAGTTCAGTTATCATTTGTGTACTTCACTAATTTGTTCAGAGAGAAAAACACAAGTACTACATTTGTAAAACTGAAAAATTCAGGTAAAAAATTAGTTTTAAAATATAAGTATCACATTTATAAAAGTAAAAAAATATAAGTACCAAATGATATATTAGACCTTCCAAACATAATATCAACTATTCTTAAGTTTTTTAATTCAGTTCGGTACTTAATTAGAACTTCTTTTAAAATATTTTCTAAAAGTTATGTCAAATTAACTCTAAACTCATATTTATAGTTTAATACTTAATTTAAACTTCTCGAATTACCAAATAAACTTTCCAACTTAAAAAAACTAACTATATATAACTCTTAATCAGTTTCAAACTTGATGTTTGTTTGCTTCTTAATGGAATCATTCAGCGCTGAATGATGAACCGTTCAACATTCATCGCGTTTGTTTCGCACATCTAAATGATTCAGTGCTGACTAATTCAACAAAACAGTGTTGAATGATTCAACATAGAAGTACATTATGAATGATTCAACATAGAAGTACATTATGAATGATTCAGAGTCATTATCAAAAATCATGTCACATTCAGAGCTAATTCATACATAGCCTCTAAATCATTCAGCATTTGAATCATTCAGCGCTTAATCATTCTGAAGTAAACAAACAACCCCTTAATTCAAATATCTTAAAATATAGAGTAAATAATAGTAGAGGTCATTAAACTATATAAAAATGATTGATCAATGGCCCCTCAAATGTTACAAAATAGTCAATAAATTTCCTAAATTATTAGAAAATGGTCATATACAACATTTAAACAATAATAAATTTTGATAAATTTAAGGATTATTTTGTAACAGCTTTATAAATTTTGATGATTTTATGATTATTATAAAGTTTAATGATTATTTTATAATATTTAAAAAAGCATGACCTAAAATATTAGGGTAAATTACATAATTACTCATTAAACTTTACTCTCTCTCTCCTATTTACTCATCGTACTTTCAGTTTTTTCAATTTACTCACTGAACTTTATACGTTGAATTTTTTTATCACTCAAAGATGACATGTCATATTTTATTATTTTTTTCATATGATGTGTCATATTTTAATATTATTTAAGATTATAATAATAAAAATTTAAAAATATTAAAATATACATTCAAAACCCTAAAATTAATATTCTCACCTTCACATTTGATAGCATTGGGTTAGAGTCGTCGGTGGATACATTCGCGATGGCTACCACAGTGGTATCCGGTGGCCGTTGAGTTCCAAATTTTATAGTCTAAACCTTTTTGATCTCCTGAGCACGAATATACCCTTAGTTTTGTCAAAAAAGTTTTGATGTTAACGAATCAATACCGAAATCATTAGGCTTTCATCTCTTCGATCTCCATCGACCGCTGTATGATGGAGCTCAAATGAAGATATGTTGGTCCTTTCATCACAACGTTACTCTTCACCATTCGGATCTGTCGTATCACTACTGGAGTTGCCCCTTTTGAAAATCCGAAGGTAAAGTTATATCTTTTCCTTTTTTTTATTTATTTGCTAAATAGTTAATTTCTTGTTTTTGCTTTGGAAATTTTGGTGTTAAATTGCTGATTCAATCCAGATAATTTATTCTCCCTCTTTCTTGGTTGCTATCATTTGTTGTGCTTGGGGTTTGTATATAGTTTTAGGGGATGCCATGGTTGTGTTAATTGGTTTGGTTGAGGGATGTGAAGGATGAATAAGAGAGTGAGTGGGCAGAGGTGAGTTTGACCGTTCACTTGTGGTTGGATAATCGTCGGTGAGAGGGAGGGGTTGTAATTTGGGGTTTAGGATTTGGGATATAATTTAGGAATTTAGGTATAATTTAAGAGTATATTTTATAAATTTATAATTTATTTTTATTTTAATCATATTTGATATTAAAATATTAATAAAATGTGACATGTCATATAAAATAATAATAAAATAAGTCACATCATCAATAAGTCATTGTATAAAGTTTAGGGAGTAAATTGAAAATTTGAAAGTACGATGAGTAAAATAGGAAAGAGTAAAGTTCAGAGAGTAACGGTGTAATTTACCCAAAATATTATCGTAAAATATAAGATGCACTTTTGAGTTTAAACGAATAACTATACAAATAGGAGTGCTATATTGATCGATTCGGTTAACCGATCGAACCAAACTATCTATATTTCATTAATCTTTAATCGAATTGGATTTTTTAAAACATTTAACCAAATCGAATAAAGTTTGGTTAATTCGAAATTAACTGAAATCTTTTGTAAATTTTTTAGTTAAATTAATTTGAATTTACTTGAGATATTTTTTACTCCATTTAGGCTAGAATTTGATTGGATATTGAAAGATTAATAGGTCTAGTATGATTAAAAAATAGTTAGATATTAATTCTTAAAGGGTTTGATCTTAAAATATATATAATATTTAATATTTAATAATTTCGATTAATTCAATTAATTAATTAATTTCGAACAATAATAAATTCCTACTCTTTCTTATAGTGGGTTTAGTTTTGGACCGAATATCTTGAAGGCCCAACTTCGTAAGCTAATCCTCATGAATGGCAAAGTATTAGATATTTAGGGTTTCTTATGCCAAAACCCTCATTTTCACCGTCTTTGCCTGCAGCCGCGCCACATTAGATAGAGAGTTCGTCAACCATGGCCGAGCAGGTTCATTCTCAGATACATTATCTTCCTCGTCTACTCCCTTTTATTTTCCTCTCATCTTTCTTAAGTTTTTAATTATTTTTTGTTTGTTTCCAGACTGAAAAAGCGTTCCTTAAGCAGCCAAAAGTGTTCCTAAGGTAATCCTAAAACTCAAAACGTTGAAACAAATTTTTACTTTCTTTTTTCTGATTCGGATTTTATCGTTTTCAGCTCCAAGAAATCTGGTAAAGGTAAAAGACCTGGTAAGGGAGGGAACAGGTATTGGAAGAGTATTGGTTTGGGCTTCAAGACTCCTCGTGAAGCCATTGAAGGTATTTTTTCTAGTTTCATTTTCTTTCTGGTTATGCCGATTGATTTATATGTATTTAGGTATGGAGGAACCATGGATGGTCAGTTTGTGTACATGAAATTCATTGTTTCCTGCATTTAACAGCTCAAGCCGAGACTTAAAAAGAAAACAACTTAAGCTGAGTGGAAGCTTCTTTAAGGTCATTCTAATTATTAGTTTCTGAAATAGATCCTTTATAATTCAATACACCTGGAAAATATTTCACTATGATTTACAATTAGAAAAAAAAAGATGACTTGATTGATTGACGGCTAGCATCCGATGTAGGGAGGGTATATAGGGACGAACTAGGATTAAACATTGGGAGTGGCCAACTTGCATAATTTCAAAAGAACAGGGACCTATTTCAAGCCGATGTAGGGAGGGTATGTAGGGACGAACTAGGATTAAACATTGGGAGTGGCCAACTTGCATAATTTCAAAAGAACATGGACCTATTTCAAGCCAAAAATTAGAGGTTTCAAGGCTTAGGTTAATCAATATTTAAGGTGATAGGGACCTAAAATGCTATTTGACAAAAAATGGGAGTGACCAGGGCCCATCCCAAGTACTGCATAGTTCCTTCCTGTTTGTGTGTTTGTATAACATGTTTCTATGCTCTTAGAATTCAGTTGATGTCCAGATTATGGTTGTTGGTTGTTATTTGATAATGTTTTGCCTATTTGTTTGCTAAAGGAACCTACATCGACAAGAAATGCCCGTTTACCGGCACTGTTTCCATCAGGGGTCGCATCTTAGCTGGTACTTGCCATAGTGCTAAGATGGTCAGAACAATCATTGTTCGACGGAATTACCTTCATTTCATCAAGAAATACCAAAGGCATGATCCAACTCCATCTCTCTGTTCTGTACCGTATTTGTAAAATCATTTTTGCAGAAAGTTTTCATTTTTTTTCCAGATATGAGAAGCGTCACTCAAACATCCCGGCACACATTTCTCCTTGCTTCCGTGTGAAGGAAGGGGACCATGTCATTATCGGGCAATGCAGGTTAAATTTATACAGAGAAGGATTTATATTATATTTGTATTTGAATCAAATCTTTTACGGTATAGGCAATTTTGGTTGTTTGTAATTTGTTTGTGTTGTCTTGTAATTTCAGGCCATTGTCGAAGACCGTCAGATTCAATGTTTTGAAGGTAATTCCCGCTGGATCTTCCGGTGGTGGGAAGAAAGCCTTCACTGGAATGTAAGGAGCAAATGGTATGTTGTCCGGGGGGACGGATAAGACATTGAGAAGTTCTCTACTGTTAGATTCATTTACTCTTTGTTTTTATTTCACTTTTATATGGTTTTTGAATAGGCTTGAATTTTTCGTTACCTTGGCATGATTCTGTTTTGGAAGAATAAATCTTTCACTTTTATATTATGTATGGAATTTCTGGTTTACTTGATCCAATTTTCGACAGTTATCTGGTTTGAAAACTACACTCTACAGTCGCCACCAAAACATTTGATGAGAAAAATGAAATATTTTTTTCCTCATTATTATAAATCGTTTCAAATGAACTTACAATCATCAGAGTACAATGGATTTTCTTTTTCTTTTTGAAAAAAATATGTCAAATTTGGACACAATGGGGGTGTTCTAACCTTCTCCATGTGGAATTAGGTTTTGAACTTTTTTATTTTATCCTGTTTTTATTGCAGACTTTGAAAAATTATATTTTGCAAACAGAATCTTATTTTTTTTTTCAAGAAAACGACGATGACAACTCTTGAGAGACGTCTGTTTCAAGTTAAATATTTTTTTCCGAATCATTTAGAAATGATTTCGATATTATTTTTAAGAATTTTTCATGATTTTTATTATAATAATGATATTTTGTGAATTTTCATAATTTTATCTTATTTTTATGGTTTTTTATTTTCAAAGATTTTTTTAAGTTCATATTGTCTTTATGATTTTTTAATAATGTTTTAAAATATTAGAATTTTATTTTATAATTTAATATTATCTTTTTTCCTTTTTCAGTTATTTTTTAATGCACCTGTTGTTTTTTACTATTTATTAATATAATAATTTTGTAATTTCCATATGTTGTCATCTAACTAATCCGCTTGTTTAATTGACAAGTCAAAGTAGGTCAACTTGGTTTGAGTTTCTAAAATTTTCTAGCATAAGAGCTTAATTGAGTTCAAATACACAATTATCAGTAAAAAGTTATCGATAATTTAAATATTACAAATTGTAATTGAAAAACATCATATTCATAATACATAACGTTATAAATTATCAGAAAGAAAAAAGGATCCACTGCAAATTTCATAACTCGATTCAAGAGTCGAGAGAAGTTGAATGAATGGTTAAAATAACAGAACTATCTGCCCTGGACAACAGCCGTGTAGTTGGACTCTTAGCTCCAGAGACCAAGGGTCAAACCTCGATTAATATATATAACAATGCCTGCCCTTTGACAAATTTTACCTTTATTAAACTTGGAGATGAAACTGAAATAGATATAAACTACTTGATGCAGTTTTGGATTGTACAAAAATGAAGTTTGGAATGGAGAAGGTAAACTCCGGTTCAAATTCCCCATCTCAATTATGAAAATGTCACTTGTCATTTGAAATCAAAGAATAAGGGGTATACCACATTTAACATAAAGTCATGCCGCCATTCGTGACCACTCAAATCGGTAAATCACCAACTTCATAACCGCGAGAAGATTCGTTGATCCAGCATCTCTTGATACATTACTCCGTCTGCAGTGATAAGCCGTTTAATTGTTATGTGATCAAGAAATACTAAACGTATGGCATTGCAATAAACTGTGTTTCAAGACTCGTCGTTACATCGACGGGGCAGAAAATTTTACACCATATTGCTTAATACCATGAATTTAGACTAAGATCACATCCAATGCATACACGATTTCGAACTTATTTTGATTCCTCAAACAAATGAACTCGGCAATACATGAAAAAAGGCAAAAGATGAAGGTAGATGAGATAACAAGTATTTGGAAACAGTACCTTTTGACGCTTTGAGCTTGGCGGGTTTGGTTCGGAGTCACTAGGTCTATGTGAATTCCCAGTCCTGGAGCTCTCAGCCTGCAAATGAAGCAGTATTTAGCTTCTTCATACGTTGATCTTAACATGATCGATCACGGAAGGAATTGGCAGGAACCTCAATCAAACAGACAAATTTATGGTTCAGGCCCGATGCATGGAAAAGGCATGCTTACCTGGGTGGATGTATTTGCTTGTTCTGTAGACACGGTACTTCGTTGCAATCCCTCATGCTGAGATATGTATGGCATAATCTGATGAAGCAGATTAGATAAAAACACTCCATCATTAATACTTGGTTCAGGTGTTGCATTACCACGGGATGTTCCTGCTTGCTCCAGGACAGAATCAGTTGCTGATCCTTGTAAAGTAGTTTCCTCTACCTGGATTTCACCACCAGGGAAAAGCGCTCTTAGAAACTGAAGAATACTACTAGGAATTGGCCTCTCGGACTCTTGGTTGTTTTGAGTTCTGTTGGCACTGTGTGTATTCAATCGCTCCTGTTGTCTTGAGTTAGCATTTGGTAATGAACCTATAATGAGAAGGAATTTAGTATTCAATTTTTTATTCGTATCAGAACACGTAACCTCATTAGCATGTTTAGGTACTGGAATTTTATCAGCGCCAGTGCTTCCCATTTTCCTCTGACCAGACAGACACCTGTAATACAAAAACACGGTGAAAATTCCATAGTGTGCAAAATTAACTTTTCTATTTTAAAGGACAGCCAATCCTGCTTCGTTAAATGAAAGCACCAAACACAAACTATTTTTTCCCCTTATAAGTTGGCCAGCTTATGTATTCTCAGCAGACCTGATGAAACTTGATGAAGGGACAAAATCAAATACAATCATGACAGACTTAAACAAGACTAAAAGAAAATTCTAGCTTGAAACACGTGTGATGACAAGTAGAAGCCATCCCTTGTCTATGGTTTTGTAACTGGTTTGCGAGAAACTGAAAACGACAAAAGGAATGAAATAATAAAATAATAAGCACAGAGAAATATTATTATAGAGCACCAAACAAACTATTTTCATCAACCAAAATTTAAACCGGACCCAAAACCAGGGATTAATCAAACTGATGGCTACGTCTGGGATAAGATAGATCATATTTGGTAAGCCCGGTAACTTTCCTAAGACGTACCAATATACCACAAATATGTTAAAAATAAAGCAGTGCAAGGAAATTGAACTACAAGCACTCAAAAGGAAGGAAAGCACAAAACTTCATAATTCATATACGTTGCCGATTAGTGCTAAAATCAGAAACAAACAAATTTATTACACTCGGCAATATTCTTTATATGTTATTTTACGACTCGAATCTCTCTCGCATCTTTACAAACATTTAAGATTCAGTATCTTGAAATCAATTAGACATCATTTCAAACATTAGTAAGTTTCCATAAACAACAGTATGAAAACATGAGAAGAATTTCAAATTCCTTTTAGAAAACATCCATGAATTTTAGCACTACTCTTGCCTCATCAAAAAATTAATGAACATGTTCACATCAAAAAAAATTAGCACGTCTTTCCTAAGACGTACCAATATACCACAAATATGTTAAAAATAAAGCAGTGCAAGGAAATACAAGCACTCAAAAGGAAGGAAAACACAAAACTTCATAATTCATATATGTTGCCGATTAGTGCTAAAACCAGAAACAAACAAATTTATTACACTTGGCAATATTCTTTATATGTTATTTTACGACTCGAATCTCTCTCGCATCTTTACAAGCATTTAAGATTCAGCATCTTGAAATCAATTAGACATCATTTCAAACATTAGTAAGTTTCCATAAACAACTGTATGAAAACATGAGAAGAATTTCAAATTCCTTTTAGAAAACATCCATGAATTTTAGCACTACTCTTGCCTCATCAAAAAATTAATGAACATCTTCACATCCCACTATAATGTTCCTATCGTAGAAATTTAAAAGCACATCCAACAGTTTGCATAAACATCCTGAAAGTGTACTAAGCTCAAACATGATTATAGTATACAAAAAAAAGCCAAGTAATGAATTGCAAATAAATCAATATATATATTGTAGCTCATACAACCAAAATCCATTAGTAACTACAAGAACTAAAATCCCACTTTAAACCTAAAAGAACACTGATACAAAACATTGATCGATGTATTGTTGAAAGTCTTGGATTCTCACAACAAAATGACAACAAAAACAAATTCATGTCAATCAGAGAAAGGTGACTAAATCTTTGAATGACAGAGTTTGTTCCAACAAAGAGCAAATTCAACAATTTTATTCCTAGGCTTACATGCAGGAAACAAAAACAATAAATCAAACCTCATCGATTTTCCCATTTCCCAATTTGATCATTCCATAAGCAAGCTTAGGATTCTATAAAATTCCAAACCAAAAGTTAATACAAAAAGGAACGACCAATTCTTCGTTTTTAACCCTCCAAAACAGACAAAAAACCGAAACTTTGAAGAACCCAGATTAGATAATCCAATCAAAAACCAGAACTTTGAAGAACCCAGGTTAGATAACCCAATCCAAATTAATGGATCAAAAAGGAAAAATCATCATACATAGACCAGATAACATAATCTGAAATTACCAAAGGTGAAATATATACCTTTTTGAAGATTGAGGAATGAGAGGGAAAGAGGCATGGGGGCTCTCAAAGAAAAGAGGAGAAAACTGATTGAGGGTAAGAGCTGAAGTGTAGCGTTTATCTGTTCTCCTCTCTGACATTGCCGAGTGGCAATTTACAATTCTCGTCTGGACATTGTCATGAAACGGGAAGATCTTTCTGTGTAATTGAATATTTGTCTTCTTACATAAAATATTATAGTAATAATGTTTTGTGTAGGTAAGAGTGCCCATATAAATATATATATTTTTTAGAAAAAGTTCTTATTAAGGCACTCGAGAATTTTCTTTTCTAATTAGGGTCATATGAATTGTAACGAAAGGAAGTCAGCTTCATTTTCAGACGATTTTATAAATACGTTCAGATAGACGATTTCTATGTGACGCTCATTACTGTAGTATTCAACGAGAAACAAAAATCTATAAAGATGTAGACAATCACAGAACAATTGTTGAAAATAAATAAAAGAACAACATCATTTTCAGAACTGTCAGAGATACATGGAGAAACACTGCAGTGATAGCAACAAGTACAATATCAATAGACAATGCAACATACGAATTAACTTTTGTTGTTGGCAGCTAGAGAAACTGGATAACCAATGTCGATACCTTCGTCTAAAACATGCGAGCATGCGACATATGAAAAAAAAGAAGAGTTGCTACAGTTGCATGAAGCTGAACCATGTGATCATCCAGTCGTTATGCAGAAATTGTCCGACAATCTCAACATCTTCATAAAATAGTCTAAAATTTAGACGAAATTCATACGGTCACAGTTCATATCATTCTAATTAAAAAATAGAATCTCAAGTGCCTTAAATGAAGAATTCCTTTTTCCAAAAACATTATATAAGCACTTTTGTCGTTTTGTGTAATTATACAATGACTATCAAAACTGTAATAATTATTTATTTGATATTATTACGTATTATTTTATTTGTATATATTATACAAAATTTACAAATAAATATGTAAATAATTGTATGAAGTATTCTTATAATAACAATACACAACGACTTACAAATTTATCATGTATGGGGCATATAGGATTGCACTCTTTAAAAAATTTAAATTTCTTTATATTTTAGGTATTTTTTTTTGTATTTTATATGAATTATTTAAAATCATACCCCTGAATTTTATAATTTTACACCTCATAAATTTTTAATATAATTTCTTAATTTCGCACATCTAACACAAATTCATGTGTCTATCTCCAATTAGCAATTGAGTTAGATCGATCAATTGTCTTATTGTCGTCTCATTTTATCAATGGTCAGTTACCACTTGTATGACGCTCGCCAACTTTTGAATGCTCGCTATCATTATCATATTCATGTTCATCATATTCGTCGTACTGCTAATAATATTTTACATTATCTTGATTAATGGATCGTCTTTCACATTGTTATTTTAATGATAATTTAGGGGAACGATTATATATATATATTTGTTAAAGATATGTTATTTCTAGAGGTCTTAAATTCGAACACCAGATATTGCAAAGGTGTTTGAGATTTCATCGTCAAATGATTGAGAATCTTTAGAATAGATACTACATTGTAATCACCCTAGATGAACAAAGAAAATGTTCTTACGTAATTTAACATGAATAACGATGAAGTGATCATTTTATTTTAAACCAATAACATCAATTATCGTAATGTAAGTTATTAAACTTAAGGGTGTGTTTGGTTCACGGAATGTAAAATTACCAGTGAGAATAAAAGATTACCAGAGAATAAAATTACTGGGAATGTTGTATTTTGTATTTCGTTAGTTTAGCAGGAATGTAAGATTACCGTGTTTGGTTAAAGGAATAAAAGATTATTGGAATGTATATTTGACCAAATTGTCTTTATTATATATTTGTTTTTTTAACAAGTTGGAAAATATTTATATATTTTATTTAAAAAAATTAAATTCATAAAATTTATATAATTTTTTTTAAAAAATTGAAAATATAAAAAAAAGTTTAATGAAAAAGTAAAATTTTATTTTAACCCCTGAACTTTATATAAAATTTTAATTATAGATTTTTTTGTAAATCTAAAATAGTTTAAGAATAAATTTTTAATTTAACATTCGTAGAATTTTTATTATTAAATGACAGAATAAGAATATTTTTGAAAAAAATATTAAGGGCATTTTAGTCCAAAACGCCGGTAATCCAACAATACCCAAGGAAAGGGAGGTAATGACATTCCCGGTAATATACCCAAAAAATCTACTATTGGCAATGTAAGATTACCGGGAATGACATTCCCGGCCAACCAAATGGGAGAATGTGGATTCCATTCTCATGCCCTTAAAAAAATTATTTCAAAAATATTCTTATTCTGTCATTGAATAATAAAAATTCTACGAAGGTTAAATTATAAATTTATCCTTAAACTATTTTTGATTTACAAAAAAGTCTATAATTAAAATTTTATATGAAGTTCAGGAGTTAAAATAAAATTTTACCCTTTCATTAAACCTTTTTATATTTTCAAATTTGTAAAAAAATTATATAAATTTTATGAATTTAAATTCTTTAAAGAAAATATATAATTATTTTCCAACTTGTTAAAAAACAAATATATAATAGGGACAATTTGGTCAAATATACATTCTAATAATCTTTTATTCATTTAACCAAACACTGTAATCTTACATTTATTCTAAACCAACCAAACACAAAATACAACATTCTCAGTAATCATATTCCCTGATAATCTTTTATTCTCACTGGTAATCTTTTATTCTCATTAATAATCTTATGTTCCGTTAACCAAACGCACCATAAATGGTAAAAAGAGAAACTTACCCAAATACTATGGACAATAGTTTATCCTTATTTATTAATTTTAACCAAACACGGTAATCTTACATTTATTCTAAACCAACCAAATATAAAATACAACATTCCCAGTAATCCTATTCCCGGATAATCTTTTATTCTCACTAGTAATCTTTTATTCTCACCGATAATCTTATGGTCCGTTAACCAAACGCACCCTAAATGGTAAAAATAGAAACTTACCCAAATACTATAGACAATAGTTTATCCTTATTTATTAATTTTAAATAAATTTCCATTTTCAACAGTTTTATTTTTTTCAAACTCCCTTCTTCTCCAGCTATATTATGGTCCACAGTTCTCAGTCAATCCCGCACTCTGCACTTACTCCCGCCTCTGTTGCCTTGATCCAAACCAAAGATTATTCGGACATTAATCAAGGTAATTTTTTAACGCCTAAACTTGTAGATATCTACTTGGCCTTGTGTTATATGATCTCCGGGTGTATTCGATTTCATGTTTTCAAATCGTGTTATATATGATTTCTGGCTCTGTATGTTATTTTTTTTGAAAGCTTTTTACTCTTTCCCAGTTGCGTCTGATAGAAAAATCATTCAACACATTATTCGTTTTCAATTGAAGCTCAATCCAGCAACTGACGACTAGAACGACGTCGTTTTGGACACACCCAGGTCAGAAAGGTGAACCACATTCAATAAAGCGATAGCAAATTTTTTTGCTGCATCCTTCTCCCCTGAGTGGAGTTATTATAAGAACATGTAGTTTTAGAAGGGAATTAATTTTTTTTACTATGCTTGAGTCGTTACTCCTACCAAGTCTTTTTCTCTTGCTATACTGTCCCAGTATAAAAATATTATACTTTCATTAATCGAGTTAGTGTTACTAACTAAGGTAATTTTTGAAAGCCCAAACTCTTAGATTTCTGCTTCGCTGTGTTCATAATTATATGACCTCTGGGTGTTTTTGATTTTTTGTTTTCGATCATGTTATACGAGACTCTCTGGCTCTGTTTTTAAAGGTTGTATTATTTTCTCCCTTTTTTCAGTTGAGTTTCGTAGAAAAATCAGTTGATGGGAAAGGAAAAACATGGTGATGATGCTTCAATGCCGGCTGAAATTGGCTCTTCTGATCCTGGTATTTCAATCTTTGCTTTTCTTTTTTCCTTTTCCCTTTTCTTTCCATTGTTTCTGTTTTTTATTGGTTTATCAATTAGAGATCTGTGTGTGATTATGAAACTAATATTTAGAAGAATTATGCGCCAAATATGCAACTTTTTAGATAAAGATATGAGTTATTTTACTGATAATTGGTTTTGAATTTTAGTGATTTGCTTATCTTAATCAATTTTCTTTTCGTTATAGCAATTATATTATGATCTTAAGAAATGTAACGAAGAGAATGAAGTAATTTGATTTCCTCTACTCTACTTAAATGACAATATTGTAGGATTTCAAATTACACTTTGCCAGCACTTCTTATTATGATTATGATTATTACGAGTGTTATTATTAATTATGAACTGATCAAAAGCTGAGCTGACTGATAAATAGAAGTTTGATCCTAATCGTTATGTTGTGGCAGCGTATAATGGGTATCCAATTTCGAAACACCGTTCATGCTGGATTCATGTTGTAGGGTATTTGAGGGGATGCAGGAAGAAGATAAGTAAACAGGAGCTTTGTGACATTAAATTAACTGCTCCATGTTTTTTAGATAGCATTCAATCTCGTGCACGATCAAACAGGCGATTTAAGAGCAAGAATTCAATATTTAAACTGAAAAACAAGCTAGACTCTGGATCATTTGAGTGTTATTTAAGGTAAGCTATATTGTATTGTGAAACTTTTGAGTGTTTCATTTTCCTTCTTTTGTTTTGGAAGTTGTTAATGAGAATAAGTTGGTCTTATCGGCCATTGGCGGTTCACCTCTCCTGATTTGAACGGAGAGTCTCATCCGGTGGAGAACCGGCCATTGGATGAGAGAGAGATAGCATATAAGAGGAGATAGATGAAGTGGTTTTTTCTGGAAGGGAGAGATCGATCTTTCCCTCTTTCCTCGGAATATAAATACCTATGTTATAGGATGACTATATGGAGTTATCAGAAGTCCAATCACGAGGCTGTCGCCATCTAGGGAGTACTAGATTCTGGATGGACAGTGGGCGGGGATGCAGTTTTCAAAGGATGTATCCGGGAGATATCTCTGGAGGTACAACAGAAGTTTTCTGAATGCATTTTTTGAAATTTCAGGACCATATGGAGCCGCTTCCCAGAAGATAAGCAGACTCTGTTTACGTACTTAGATTGTCAATGGTTTGCATGGTATAGGAAAGCATATTATCGAAAAAAGTTTCTATCTTGGATTAAGAGGAAGGAGATATTTTCGAAGACATATGTTCTTGTTCCGATAGTTTGCTGGTTAGTACTGTCAATATCATGGCGATCAAATGCCTTGTTCGATTGTCTGTAAATGTGACTATAATCGGAAACTATATTTTTTCAGGGATCATTGGAGCCTCTTAATCTTCTGCCATTTTGGTGAAAGTTTGCAATCTAAAACCAGAACACCTTGTGTGCTGTTGCTGGACTCTCTACAGATGTCGGACCCGATGCGTCTCGAACCAGATATAAGAAAGTATATTTACTCATTTGCATAACTTGGATTAGTAGCCGAGTAAAGTAGCCACAATTTCTAATGTTGAATATGTATTTCTTTCTAGCAGGTTCATGTTTGACATTTATAAAACCGAAGGCAGGCCTGAGAATAAGCAGACGATTTATGGAATTCCTCTTTTGGTCCCTAAGGTGATTACAGTACAATTTTTTTTTTTTTGATTTTTTTATCATCCTTTTACATCTTTGTTTGATCCTTGATTTTTTCAGGTGCCACAGCAAAGAAATGGTAAAGAATGTGGGAACTTTGTTCTCTATTTCATAAAGTTGTTTGTCGAGAGCGCCCCGGGGAACTTTAGCATCGAGGACTACCCTTACTTCGTATGCTTCTCATTACGTTTAAGACATAATTTTTCGAATGCAGATTATACGTATGATGATGAGGGTACTAATTGCCTATTTTACATTGCAGATGTAAAAGGACTGGTTCGATGGTGAAGCTGTGGAACGCTTTTGCGAGAGGATCAATTCTTCGGCATGCAATTTTTGTTAGTTTTATGTTTACAACGTCGAGATAACATTTTTCGATCATCCGAGTCCATAATCATAGTGATGCACCAAAATTTATTCTACGACATTCGGTGTTCCTTTTTAATTCCAACTTTTATGGAAGTTTTCTTTAGAAACTTTATTTCCAGCTATTTTGCGGTATGTTTTTAGAATTTATATATTTGATTGGTTAATATACATTCAGTGGTGGTTCTTGAAAAAAATAATTTAAGGACTAAATTATTCTTTTTTAAAAAATTGAGATTGAACAAGAATTTTCAATAAAATTTGAGGGTTTGATAGGATATTTTTAAAAAATTTGGGAGGCTTAATAAATTTTGATAGAAATCGAGGATATTTAATTAAGATTATAAAAAAATAAACTTAATAAGAATATTTTTAAAAATAAGATGGTTAATTAAAATTTGAGTGAATTGCACCACACATCCCTAAACTATAACCCTTATTTTAAATTAGTTCCTAAACTTTTGATCATTCTAATTTATTCTTAAACTTTGATTATCATTCTAAATTAATCCTTTAAAAACTCTTGAGCATTTCATATTCATTGACTCTCATTCTTAGTTTGTCCTCACACTTTTTAATGTTCCAATAACATCCCAAAGAATCATTCAAAAGTTTATGGATGAAATTAGAATGAAAGTTATAGTTTGAGGATGAATTTAGAGTGTCCAAAACTTTAGTATCAACGAGTTATAGTTTGGGATAAAATTGGAATGTTCAAAAGTTTAAGAACTAATTTAAAATAAGGGTCATAATTTAGGAACATGTAAGGTAATTAACTCTTAAAAGTTTAAAAGAGGAATCATCTCCGTCGATTCTGAAGCATGCAGCTTATTTCGTGGCTTACAATATGGCACTACTGATTGTTGTACATTAATATTTACCGGAAACTAGCATGGTTTTGTTATATAGCACGTAAGGATAAGGATGGATGCATGATTTTATATTAAACGAAGTTAACTCGTAAAATTTTAGGGACAAAAACATATTATCAATAAAAAATACCAAAAACAAAACTTAAATTATATGAACATTTGAAATTTTCAGGGGAGGATTGCTCCCGTCAGCTCCCCTTGATCCATCTTCGGAAGCAGTGCTATTATTTTGTGGTCGACAACATTCTGCCTAGACAATTCCGATGAGGACATGTGTGCAAGAAAACTCGCAAATCTTTGACATGATAAAGAAAAGTTGCAAATAGCAAATACTTTAATTTGGTACCGATAAATACTTTTCACTTTAAGAAGGCTCATCTCTGTAAATGAGAGAAAAAAAGTGAATGAGGATTTACAACATTCATTCTCTTGAATCAAAACCAGACTGATCATCTGAGTCCACTACCATAGTGATACGAGTGTCATCAACCTTGGTATCCTTCGGAAGGATATTGCAGTTAATGGTATGCCATACCGGTCTCTCTTCTTGGAATAACCTGCAAAACCAAGGATATCAATCGTAATTTATTATCCAAAAACGGATCGGATATCTAACTTTTTACCATCCATATCGTCCCTAGTTTATCGTACAAAAAACATGTTCCCCCCAAAAAGGTTTTATTTTCTCCTTGCATTAAACCTATCCATCACTTTTGCATTTAGTATGTATGCAAGGATGCCCACAAGTCACAACCAAGTCCAGATAACGTACCAGTTATGAATATGGGGATGTGATCTCCAAGGACACTCCTCGAATACATGGAAATTAAACTTACAAAAATCTTGTCATGCTCATGTCTTATACATACCCGTATCCAGTACTCGCAACAAATTCCAAATAACATAGCTGTCATATATCGAGATTTAAGGAAGGGTAAAGAGGTTTTCATTCATGTTTTACATACAGTTCCCACCACATCATTTCTAATGGCAGGTCTTTGATCTTTCCAACGAACACAATCAGCTTTAAAGAAACTATATCAACAGCGTAATCTTAGCACTTAGAGAGAGAGAGAGACTCACGGGTGTTTACAGAGCATAGGGCATTGAATAGTAAGTGCATACTTGCATGTGGCTAACTCTGTAATTGAACTAATCATCGTTCTTGGCTCTGAGCACACAAACCTCACCTACAAACAATGAGAAACCTTTAGAAAAATGAGGTATCTAAAAACTAAAACAATGGGGGTTTTTTTCTCCCTCCAAAGCAAAACTAAAGACCATATAAAGGTTCTCTACTTCATTGCTTCATACCTCAGTTTCTCGGGGTTGATTAGTAAGATCACATAAGGTTCCATTCGTATATTGATGAGCATGATACCTGTATGAAACCTGGTATGATTATTAGTTCTTTTTCTTCTTTTAATTCAATAAAATGATTATGTTCATCATTTGAAACCTCTTGAATACACTCATGTCATGACTATGAAGAATGAGACAGGTTTGGTTTTTGAGGGCCATGAGAATGTCAAAAATTGGTTTTTAATCTTTCAAAAGTCCTTACAGAATGGAGAGCAGCAGGTCAAAGGAGGAAATCATTCAATATTTCCAGACACCAAAGATTAGATGCAACTGGAAATTTTAAGCCATACTGAAGTCACACCTTTGTGATGTGTCTTTTGAACGAGGATCTTTTAATGTGGAGATGTCAGAGAGATTCTGGTTGGAGGCAGCAGTGGCCTCCTCATCATAAACACCCAAGACAAACTCCTGAACCACCTGCATTGGTTATTTAACAAATATTCTTAATGCTTTGTATGAACTAGATCTTTGGTTCCGAGTTATTCCAAAGTAATAAGAACATGTCCAGAAGATAATTAGTAAAAACTGCCGATTTTATAACTATTATTACTACTTAGATCAAATAGATTATGCAACCGAACAATCCAGTGACGAAAACCATCTGTTTTGAGTGTTCATAACAGGTTTTGCTTGTATATTTACCTGCAGTTCATTTCAGACAAGAATGATACATCACAGATAGAACCCTCAAACCATTAAATAAAAGTACCTTAAATAAACTGAATTAAAAGGCTACCTTATCCTCTTCCAAATGGAGTTGCCTCAACTGTTTTTGATAGCAAAATTCATATGACCACCAACCCTCTTGCTGCATAAAGAGTTGACAGCATAAGCTAGAGTCAGATATGAAAATAGGCAGCACGGAATTATTAAAAAAAAAATCTTTCTACCGTACGGTGATGGCAACAATATATAGCATATGAAACACCAAACAAATCGTTTGTAGGAACCAGATGCTCACTCTGATAAAGCATTGATTTTTCAGTACTTCCAGTAGCTCATCTGGCGTCTTCAGTTTAACCCGTTTCTCAGTTTCCACAATCAAGCTACTATTGTTCTGATGAGTAACTGTTTTTTTGGCTTTCTCCACCTTCGGCAAGAAACATAAAAAGTTCTTTCCATCTTTGTTAGGCATAACAACAGACTCCTGGCCATCATCCTGCAAAATATTACAGGCATTACATTATCAGACAAATGGATAAATCGACATAGAACTTGACAGGTTCACATGAAAAGAAAAAAACCATCCAAATAAAGTAACAAATAAATGGAAATTATTGAAGTAAATACCACACCAATTAAGTCGTGGGAAACCTATAACAAGGTCAACTTCACCTATAGCCAATTCATTTTAGGTTGGATATACATTTAAAGTTTAACATGATATCAAAGAAGGTGTAACCCTGTTAGTTAGCTCTTCCATGATAGGCCATTGTCCTTACATGCAAAGTTCATGTCAGGTGATAGGTAATGTTATCCCTACACAGTCGTCGGATTACCGAAGAAGTGATCAAGTAAATTCCACATCGATTCAGGGTAACCCGAGCAGATGAATAAAACGAGGGTCATTGTGCGAATTAGTTTTAGGTTGGGTTTCATCTTAAAAATTCAAGAGAATTTTTAGAACAAAAGTAAGAAGTCAAGATTTCATTATTCTTATACCATTAAATCAATAACCATCTTTTATAGAAACAAAACTAAGCTGCACCTCTACTCGCAATTCAAATACATGGACATGGATTTGAAGTATTGAATAAGATGCAACAACGCAGGAAAGAACTTCAATATTTGATCGGAAGTAGGACTGAAGAGAAAATATATGTTAGAAAACCCGAAGCTTACTTACAGGTTGGTAGACCGAGTCTTCTGTATGAAACTCAATCTTGTATTTTGGTTCACGGGAGCTATGGCCGAAAGAGCCAGCTGTTGATCAGAGAAGTGTCAGCAAGCAAGACAAACTTGAAATCAATGGAACAAACATTCAAAATATTAAAAAAGTGAATATACTACGACAGTGCCAATACACTCTAATTTGTTTCTATTCAGGCTCTGGATTAACTTGGTTATGAAATTTCCGCTTCTGTATTTAAGAACAGATAGCCTTTCAATTAGTCCACGGTCCACGGATACACAGGCATAAGAACATAAGCAAACTATATACAGTTCACCATGCAGGTTAGCTGTGTTCCATGATATCTAATTGGGAGAAAATAGAGAAAAAAATCCCACATTGTTACTAAAAGGATCGATCTCCGGCCACCGAAGGACAAAGGACGTCTAACGTTTGAACCATTCTATTACAACACTCAAAGCACTACTAAAAATAACTCAGTTATGCCTTCCATTTCAGACAAATCACACTCTAATTTTGCATAAACAAGGAACCTTGGGCGGGAAAATGTACATTACGTTGCTACTCATTAACAAGAAACAAAAACTGATTCATCTAAAACAAAGCAAAAGAAGAAAAATTATCAAGCATGATTGTTTTACACATGAAAATAAAAATTAAAGAAAACCCAGAACCAAAACAAAATTAAGATTAATTATACAAAAGAAAATAAATGAGATTTACATTAAAAAAGGGTATACTTATAGAGAAGGAAAGAAACATGGAGTTACCTATGTGAGATGGGAAAATGGGATCGGCGAAGACATTGCTGCATAAGTAGAAGATAAATAAAACTGCTACCAAACTAATCAACAACCTCATATTTCTTTTCCCCTTTAGATAGACGATAGTTCCAATTTCATATGAAAATTTGAACGCCGCAGAGCTCAGTCGATGAAGAAGAAAGAAGCGTGGATCGACTCTTGAAGACATTCTGAAACTATGGAGGTTTCCCAATGGACCGGAAGTGGAATCCGACCCAATAGGTTAATTTGCGCTAAAAACTTAAGCCCAAGCAACGTTTTGCAAGTTCCATTCCATTGACATTTGTACCATCCCAGTTCCTTCGGGATCTACTGAATCTTCAGTAACCGGCATGTCTTTATGGTAGCCGTTTATCAGGAAATCAAGACAACCCGGAAACAACTCAGTTTTATAGAATTTAATCCAATGAAAACTTCCAAGATCAACATGCCAGTAGCATGTATTCCCAATTCTCAGAAGCATGCATTCCCAAAATCCAGTTCAGCATGGCCATTATAATGCCATTTCAGTAAACATTCTACAGGAAAAACATTACATGCATTGCCTCTATAATACATTTCATCTGTTCCTTTCAGAAAAGAGCATTTCATCATAGTTTCATTTTACTCAATCGATAGTGTACAAATGTGGAAATATTATGCTAAATTTGAGTACAAATGTGGAAATATTATGCTAAATTTGAGGAATAACATTCATGTTAGGATTGTACCAATCATTTTTAAATCAATTACGTTTTCTAGGGCACAATAAACTTAATTTGTTTCTTTTAGGTAAACTATGCAAATGGTCACTAATGTTTGAGTAAGTTTTCGTTTTTACTATTGATGTTTCAAAAGTAAAAAATTGGTCACTAACGTTATCGTTTGTTACAAATTGGTCACTCGCCGTTAACGGTTCTTAACGAGAGTGACGAGTTCTTAAATTCTCAGAATTTTGTTGATGCAGAAGGTGAGAGCGAGGAAGAAGATGAAGCAACAACCCATGCTAAAGCGAGGAAGAAGATGAAGCAACAACATATGTTATTGCTCTCAATCGAAATTTCGCCGATGCAGAAGGTGAGAAAGAGGAAGAAGATGAAACAAGAACCCATGGTAAAGAGAGGAAGAAGATGAAGCAACAACCCATTCTATTGCTCTTAACCGGAATTTCCATTCCAAGATCACCACGGGCAACCATAAAGGCATCGGTCCTAAGCTCTTTGGGTTGTGTTTTTCGTCATAGTCATCATAGAAAGCATGGAAAGAAAATTTATAAATGGGTTCTAGAAGAAAAGTTCGGCATCCCTCTAGATGCCAACTTTATTATTAGAGACTACCAAAATACTGGACCCAACCATTGATGCAACAAGATGAGAGAAGCATACTTCGATAACGAGACATCAACTCCCTTGTACCCTTGCGCTTTGACCAGTTTGCATAACCTAAATACTGAACCCAACCATGGAGTTAACAAATCATAATTTTCTTTGCGAGCTTCTCTTTCATGATAGTAGGATTCACAATTATCACTATCAATGAAAACCCAACGAGACATAACTTTCATGGAGTTAACAAAAACAGAATGAAGAAATGAAGACGAAGAAATAAGGAAAACTAAAAAAAATAGGAATCTTACACGTACATGTTGATTGTACCTTCAAAATCTTGAGTGTGTGCGAAGAATTTGGCTGCTCAGCCTTCACAAAAGCAATCAAACTTGAGAACAATGGTTGAGAATCTCTTTTCCTTATTTTCTCCATCCTCGTTTTCCTTTCTTCCATTCTTTTTTTGCAGCAGAAACAAAGAAGAACCAGCATTTACCAAATCATATTGAAAGAAGATGAATTGTTAGGAAGGAAAGAAAGGGGAATGGGGCTAAAGAAGAGTCGAAGATGAAACAACAACCCAGGGTAAAGTAAGGAAGAAGATGAAGCAACAACCCATGCTATTGCTTTCTACATTTGACAATCCATGTGACAGTCAACCCAGTCCAATTAAGCTTTAAACAATCCAGTTGTGTATTCTATAGCGGTTAACGGCGAGTGATCAATTTATAACAAACATAACGTTAATGATTGATTTGTAACTTTTAAAAATCAGTGGTGAAAATAAAAACTTATTCAAATATCAACAACAATTTATGTAGTTTACATTTATTTATTATAGTCATTGTTAATATTTTGTTTTGCAAAAGTTTCATTTCATTATTATTAGATATAATTGCATATTGTGTCCCCAAATTAAGCCTCACATTTAAATTAACTCATAAACTTTAAAATATTATATATTAGTCCATAAACTATAGGCTCATTCTAAATTAAGTTTTAAACTTAAAACATTCTATATCGATCATCACACTATCAGTATCGCTTCATCTTGATCTCTTCATTAATATATTGTTAACTTTACTAAAATTAAAAGGTCATGATAATTGAACTTGATCTAAATTAATCTCCAAACTGAATAATAAATATCATATCAAAATTTTCCTTAACTGTTGTCTCTGAAACATTGATCGAAAATCCTTGTGCATTTATTTTCCCATTCAAATGTATATAAATTCCAAATTAATTTCCTTGATTACTCCCTCATTACCTCTAATTGACATGGGTTAGGTCACTAAATTTTCAATTTGTTTTGGAAACTTTAACAGTAGCATCGAAGGCCGAAACAAGACATGTTATCTCAACCACGTTTGTTCAGTTTCCGATATTCGCGACAACAATAGCTACGATAACAACTTCTACAATTAAAGTGTTTATTTAAAATGAAGAATACAGACTTTATGATGAAGAAAGAAAAATAGCAAGAGAGATGAATCGAAAGGTTGATCAAAGTAATTAAACCGTATCAGGTCAATTGATTTAATGCATAACATTAATATTTTATTATTACAATAACGACTATTAACGATAAGTGACCGATCTATTATAAATAGATAATATCAATAATTAAATTATTTCTTTAAATATCATTAGTGAAAAAATATTTATTAAAACATCAATGATTATTTAATATAGTTGACTCATTTCACCTCCGAGTAAAATGAAATTACCGAAATTACTCAGTTGGTAAAGCACAATGTTCTTTATCTTGAGGTCGTAGAATCGAGTCTCACGGAGGATATTTCATAATTTAGAAGTCTCCTATGAAAATTGTTCTCAACCTAATGTTGGAGTCAGTCTACTATCTTACCTCTCATTACCCCATTACATAACAGTCATTTGCTGTCGTGATATTCTCTCCAGTCGGATGAATAATTACCATACTCATCTCACACTTCCCACTTCTACTATTACCTAAGAAGAATAAAAAAAATTAGTACAAACGCAATTTGGGGTTAATGTTTTCTTGGTCATTGGATGTTACTCTCCCAAAAAAACCCTCCTTTGTCTTTTAATTTTGGATAATTTACTATATTGTTTTTCGCTTCAATTAATTACAATGGGAAAGAAAAAGAGAAGTTCCCAACTCAATAAACTCGACCTTCCTCCTTCTTCGGGTATGTTTCTCTTTAATCTTTATTTATATTTTGTTTCAACAAAGAAATTTATTTTTGTGAAAGAGTTTATAAATGAAAACCATTGGTCAATTTTGTAAAAATTCGGTGCTATGATTTGGGTTTGTGTTAAAGAAAAGGAAATGGGGTTTTCAGGTTTGTTGCGATTTTTAATTTGTTAATTGGTTTTAATTTCTTGAATTGCTAATTGAAGCTATTATTTTATGTTAATGTAATGAGAATGCTTGTTATTGATGTTTTTTGTTTGTTTGTTCAGAATATTTGATATGGTGTAGTACAATTCTGGGATTTATGAATTATGAGATTTGAATTGGGAAGAAGTTTATTTTGCTAGTAAATAGGCTGGACAATCATATGCTTTAGCTCTTAAACCTTGAAAATCAGAAAGTAAGGGCAAAAATATCCAATAATATTCTGTGTATGATACATTTGCCCCTGAATGATTTTAAGCACACGGCTTTGTTTTGCTTAGTTGCCATTCTAAGTTAGATCATATTGGCCGGCTTGTTATTCGGAAGCTTAGTTTGATCATATTGGCCTGCTTGCTATTCGGAAGCTTAGTTTGATCATATTGGCCTGCTTGCTATTATGAAGCTTAGGCTGTTGAATGTAGCAAACTATTGTCATTGGACATCCTCCTTAAAGGTTCATCAAATTCGAATCATTGCCAAGTGAGCTTCGGTTCGGTTTTCGTCAACTTTTAGGCCTTTGATATTTAGTTGATCACCCGTTTATGTTTGAAAGGAAACTGCAACAATCTTTCTTTTCTGTTTCCTTTTTACTTGCCTTTTTAAGTGTACCATTTGTTTGCACCACTCTTTTGCAATCCACTACATTCTTTTCCGCATTCTTATCCTTGTTTTTGGTTTAACGTAGTTCTGCCATCTTGATGTTGTCAGATGCTATGTTATTGAAACTCGGGTGTGAGTGTTGGATAAGGGCATGGGTCCCACACGAGTGTGTTTAATCTTTTCTAAGTTTTCCATACATTTGAAAGGTACTTCAAGGGTCATAGCCATGTCCGAGAATATGTAACATATTGGTACTTTAAGAAAACTGAAAAGTCATGACAACATTGATTAGATGAGATTTTGGTGATTTTTGTGGTCTCAGTACATGAAATATGTTCATGCGATAGAAGTTTTGACCCATCTTTGGCTTAATAATCTAATATAGCTAGGTATTCTCCCTTATATATTTAAATGTAAACAATTAGAATGAAAATAATCATTGTACCTTTTGTTGCATATTGCAGAGCACATGCCGTGGTCTTCTGGGACAGCGTTGTTATCCAAAGAGGTTTTGTTCGTTTCCTCATTCATTTATGAAAAATCATTCATTCCCTGGTGTTTTTTTTATTTATAGTTCTGAGACATCTTTTTTATGCCGTTTTTCCTCCATTGATTTGTCAACTGAATTGTCTGCATTTTTCGTTGATTTCCCCCTTCCTTTTGTCGCTTTCTTTTATAGCACTATTCGAATTTGGATGATGGCATTGATGTTGGAGATAGTTCTGTGAAGCTACTTAATTCCAACTCTTCTGTTGCTCATCATCGTTACAATCTTGGGCGTGCGATATTTTTAAAAAGATCACGCCATTACTATGGTCATCAATACTCGCGGCGAAACTCCGGTAGCCGTTCAAATCCATCAACTTCTCGTGGCCTGATTAGTCCTTTACTTGATGAGAGGTTATCCTTCAAGTGTGCTCAATACAAACCTGATTCAGGACACTATGCAGGTGGTATGTATCTTTATTTCATCCCTACAATATGTTCCATAGCATATTATCATTTTTATCTCATCAAGATCATTACATCCAGAAACTCAGCAAATTTTAGAACTCATATATATATATATATATATATATATATAAGAATTGGAATTATTTAAGCTTCAAACTAAGTGTTGCTTGTTCCTTTCGGTATTGGCCAGTGACTTCAGTTTACAAATTTATGCAGATGGTAGGGAAAAAGCATTTGGCTTTGGCAGACCAGAAAGAATTAGGTCTAGTTCATTGGTGATGGATGTAGTATCATCAGACAAGTTGATGGCAGTTTGTGGCGTATGTCAAAAGCATGTCAGACGGAAACCTTATTTTCTCGGAAATTCTCCGGCTTCTGGTGAATTTTCTGTTGTGGCAGTACTAGTTTGTGGCCACGTATACCATGCCGATTGTTTGGAAGAAAGAACAAGCTTCGAGGACAGGGGTGATCCGCGGTGTCCATTGTGTTCAGCTTCACCATAACTAATTTGATACTTCTAGCTAAAAGTGATTTTAGAAATATCGACATGTTTATCGTACTAATCTAGGACATAAATATAGTGTGTTTGTGTATGATCTAATCTGCAGTTTCACTGATTAGAATCTTAACCATGCAATTGTATTGCTAATGTTACAGCTAGTTAGCAGACATTAGAGCTTGAAAATGCTCATCCTGCACCTTTTAAACCCCATTTGCTTGGCAAGCATGGAGAGCAGTATAGATTTTCTTAAGAGGCTTTTTGCTTTAGGTATACTTTTAAATCTGTTATACTTCATTCGGATCCCCTGCAAGCCGCATCTACCCTCCTACTCCTTCGTCATTCAAAACCTCTGGATGACTCCTCTAATTGAATCTTTCGTAGACTCATATTCTTTGGTCATCAACAACCTTTGATATGATCTATAAAAGATCCACGTGTTTTGTCAAAGTCGAATCTAGTAACGGTCATATCTATTCAACCTGCTAGTATATAATAGTAATCATGACTTTTGGTACGACACCTACACTAAGAGTCCTTATATATAACTCCCTACATCAAACAGAAGGAATCCTCTTTTCTCCTTAGACTTTCTTGATTGCCATTAACCAATCTTCATTAATCATCAATAACTCTATCGTAAAAACCATTGATGATATGACTTTCTACTCAAATTAGGAGTAAATCATTTACAATCACCACAACCTAAATATTATCATCTAACAAAATCTTTAAACATAAAATTTGCTATTCTCAAACGGTATCATAAACTCTAAAATAATCAAATCGATCAAATTAACTTGATTAATAAACAAAAACTTGATTCCATCAATTTTAGCTATCTTACCAAGTCTCAAATTCAGATCAATGGACTAAAGGTGAAATTTGTGACCAAGAATGTGATTAAAAATTATAAACTAAGTGTTAGAAGTGCTGCTTGCAAGGACCGCATAGCGCAGTGGATTAGCGCGTTTGACTTCGGATCAAAAGGTCGTGGGTTCGACTCCCACTGTGGTCGATCGGTTAAATTTTTTTTGCTTTTTGTAACTTTATTGTTTTGATTTTGATACGAATCCTATCGTTTTGCCAACTTATAAAACCTTCTTTGCAAACTAGCATCCATGGCGACGAAGGTAGCGTAGCCAAAGAAGGTTGCCTGGATCGCAGAGAAAGTGCGGCAAACTGTTTTATGAGATTTCTTCTTGCAGCAGCCAACAAAGAGGTGTTCTTACGAGGGTGACAATGGTTACGAGGATCATGATGGGTTCGGGAGCGTGCAGGTGATGCAAATGGGTGCTGAATGGGTCAAAAACGTACTGCTTCTCTGGAGTGATATCGGCGGCGGACTAGGGACGCTTTTCACATCGATTTTGGTGATGAATACATCTTAGAACTTAACCAACAGTAACATTAAAGAAAGATTAAAAAAAAGTGTGATGTAGTATGGTATAATAATAATTATAATTCAGAAAATTTATACATTTTATTAATTTGATATAGTTTTAGAGAGCAAAATTGTTATTATACTAATGTAACAAATTTTGTTAAGTTATAAATATAATTAAAAAAATGTGATATTAGTGACTTGGAGAATAATTCGGTGACTAAAATAGAAAAATGATAAAAATTGGATGACAATGATAAGAATTTACCCATATAAAAAGACAACACAAGAGAACATATGTCAACGATCAACAGAAAAGGACTCAAAAAAGCAAGAAAAATCCTCTTCTTCAACTGCAAGTGCAACCGATACCTGTCAGAGTTCACTCCCCATACTTAACCGAAAGCACTAGCCACACGAGACAAAAAGCAGATTATCAGCCGCCTCACGGCACACATGGGAAAACGCAACAGCCGCAAACAACTCTGTTCCAACAGGGGGTACGGGCAGCAACATGACCGAGACAAACCTCTCTAATAAGCCCCGCACTAAATCTAAGCATGCCCTCAACACTTGCACAACATGATCCAATCTTCATCTGCATTGCATTAAAGCACAACAGAGGGAGGAGTATCTCTCACTTAGGGATCACAATTTAACTCCAAGCTGACGGGTTTTGTTCTAACCTGATTTAATAATAAGACAATTTCCTTTTTAAATCGAGTCAAGATCGAGTTTAAGGGTAAAAAATCTCTAACTCGACTCAACCCGAGATAATAATTAAATTTTCTTCTATAAATTTAGAGATAATTACTATAATGTCATTCTCTATAATTTTTAATTAGATCCTTAATAAAAATGTTTTTTATATATTTATATTGGGTCGGATGCATATTCTTATCCTAAAAAATTGGGTAATTTGATCGCATTGTGTGTGAAATAATCTTATTATTTAGTTACTGTCTAAATACTTTATCCTAATAAAAATAAGATGACCGTATAATTTAATGACACGGATGGTAATATAAAAAGGTGAGTCTTGTCCTGACTACCATGGTCCCTCGAACGCTAATGATTTTGACGCTTTCATCTGCAATAGCGGTAGTGATGTCTTCTACTCAACTAGTAATAAACGAAGATGGCCCCTTCGTAATTGACATCTATTACCATTCACACATTGAATAACTGGATCCATTACTGATAAGAAGGCGGGGAATGAGGGGCACGTTGTTACTTCAGCGGAACAACTTTCAACCAATTACTGCTATGCTAACGGTAAATTTTCTTTCATTATACTACTCACTACTAGCAACTCAATTTCTAATCAATTAAGAATTGAAGTTTACACACATTTCTACCCTGTGATATATGTTTATAATTTTCTTTTTTAATATCATGGAAAGCATCTATCTTTATGTTCATGCTATTTTCAGGTTCCCCTGTTAAGTCCCTGAGAATTCAAGCTCCCCGTTGCAATGCTATTTAATGTCGAAATGGAACCAGGATAAATGTTGAGGGTTTCAAAGAACACGTTGAAAGGGATGACATGATCCGAAAATCATGTAAGATTATCCCCTAATATTAACACGTTACAGAATGACTTGATTAAGAACTTGACGATAATAAAGACTTGATTGCAGAGCATACGACTCCAAGGGCTTACTTGCTGTATTGGAGAAATGAGAGAATTAAGCGAGCGGTTAAGGACTCGAACTCACCCACTTTGTCTCTTATTACTTCAATTGAGCCATAAATTCTCTACATTTTGCAACTAAGTATTCATTATCGTCAAACTTTTAATTAAATAATCGTGTGGAGTCTTAACACTACCCCTTCAACATTTATAAATACTGGGATGGACAGCTCTACAGAATTGGGTGGAGGGAGAGAGACAAATGTTAATGGTTTCTTAACCAACATCTAGTTGTAAAACGGAAGCAATCTCAATGCATTAATTTATTGTGTCTGCTAAAGACTCTATTTTTGAAGCTAAAGAGTTATAAAGCCGACCTTTCTTTGCTTTGATAATTAATTTTGGAACCCTTTTTCGCATATTCCCCAAAGTTTCATATTTTAGGAAATACCGAAATGGAAAATCTTCGACTTTGTTAATATTTGGAATTAATTCAGGAAAGCTCAACAAAAGCAATTCGTTAAATAATCAATAAACTCCTTGCCTATTCCACCACTTAAAAGAATTTAAAAACATTGTCAGTAAACCAAAAAGAATTTAATTTACGTTAATATTATTTTTTTATAAAAAAAAAAATCAAAGCACACAATAATATGATGATTCACTTAATTAGCATCTATCAATGAAATATTGTTCTGTAAGAAGTAGTATCGTACATACATATCATTAAAAGGATTAATCATGAATCTGAAAATATTTTTAATAATATGATAGTTTAATTCATTAATCGATTTATTAAATCTAAAAACATACACATCTATTATTAGAATTGAGTAATTATAATAAATATTTTGTAAACCTAATCCACGTGTGTGGAAAATTACAATATAAATTACTGGATTGAAGGCAAAGGGCCAAGGAATTAATGCTTTGTAAGCAGTACCATATTTATTGCTTACCTACCAACTACTCACATTCTTTCTATCCACACGCTTTGGCTTTGCTTTTACATCCAAATCTAAAAAAATACATTCTTCCCCTAACAATGAAATAAGTTCATAATTTATACCAATTTAATTCTAAAATTCATTCTTTGCTTATGTAGTAGGAAATTGATTAAAGTTTTCAAAGTGTATGAATTTTATCTAAAAAGAAGAAACATACTATATGTGTCGAAGATATATATTTGTACAAGCACAAGCTAAGAGATATGAATCTTATCTTCATTCACTCAATGATGTACATATTTTGAGCTACGATTTTGAGAATTGAGAAGTGCATGTGAGATTTGAAAATTACATGAATAAAGTTAGATTTTGAGTTATTAATTAAAGATATGTATTGAATTTGCTCGGACCATTTTATGATATGCATGATTTATAGGGACTAGTTTATGATAACTTAGAGTAAGGGACTAACTTTTCAATTTTAATAAAGTAAAAGAATTGTATCCAAATTAGACCATTTTACATGATATATTAACAATTACAACATATGCAGCATTGAATATTAATAAGTAAATGAATGAAGTTATAGGTGAGGTTTGAGTGTGTTGAAGATGATTATTGTTTTCTCTCCCCTCCTTAAATGTTACAGTTGGTGTATCTGCCAACCAAGCCTCTTGCTTTCTTCTTCTTCTATCATTCGACTTTTCTCTCTTTTATAGACACCTCTCCCTCTATGGATTTTTGCTCATAATTACTACAATCGTTGTAGTCTTTTAGATCATCTAGCTGTTAGCTGTTGTTGTTTGGAAGAAAGAAAGAAAAAATGGATCCGACCCTTGATTCCAAGCCTGCTTCGGAGCCTGTTAAGACGAAAAAATGGAAGAAAAGAGTACGGTCGTCGTCGCCGCCGCCGCCATGTGCTTTGGTGTCTTACAAGGAGTTGCCGGAGTACATGAAGGACAATGAGTTTATTCTGAGTTATTATAGGGCTCATTGGCCTGTCAAAGAAGCACTCTTTAGCATCTTTCGTTGGCATAACGAAACACTTAACGTTTGGACGTGAGTTGAAGCCCTGAGTTCCATTCTTTTTTTCTTCGTGATTTTGAGTTTTATATAATTTGATTTTGGTCTTTTTGATGAACTCTGCAGACATTTACTTGGGTTTGTTTTATTTTTGGGATTAACAATGACGCACTTGATTCAAGTCCCTCAGGTGGCGGATCTCATTGCCTTCTTTACCAGGTTCGTTTAAGGTTTTAATCCTTAATTTTAGCCAATTTAATTTTACTTTTTTAGTAATATTTAGAGGTATCTTTTAAAGTTGTTTGGAATCTTCAATACGCCAATTCCCTTTTAAGATGCTCCTTAAGATCCATTCTACGATAGTTTTATCACAAGAATACAATGTATGATTGTTGGAATTTCAATAAATTGTATAATTGAGAGATCCCTCAATAATACTCTGTGATAATAATTAATCATTATTTCATGTGTTTAATTTGTTAATATTTTGGATGTATGTATGTATGTGAATTTCAATGTGCCAAGAATTTATGTTATTAAATTGATATCGCAGGTATTTTCCCATGAGTGGCGACCTGAATGTTTCTCATGATCCTCAAGACCACTTTATGGTGAGTTCCATTTATTCATTGATTATATTTGTCACACTGCAAGTTTTATAGTTTTTGGTTATGCCATGGAGAGTCTGATTTTGATCATTGCAGAGAGCAATACCAGCGAATCTCATCGATTTGAAGCTGGAATCGGACGTTGCGCGCGTAACGCGGTGGCCGTTCTACGTATTCTTAGCAGGCTCCATGTTCTGCCTCCTATCGAGCACCGTTTGCCACCTTTTTTCTTGCCACTCGCACCATCTCAACTTGTCTTTGTTGCGGCTCGACTATGCCGGGATCACCACCATGATCATCACATCATTCTTCCCACCAATCTATTACATTTTTCAATGCGATCCGCAGTGGCACTTCATCTACCTCGGTGGGATCACGGTTCTAGGCTTGTTCACCATCGCGACACTGTTATCGCCGGCTTTGTCGACCAAGAAATTCCGAGGATTCCGAGCTTTACTCTTTTCTTCCATGGCACTCTTTGGCATTATCCCCGGCATCCACGCCGCCATTGTCAACTGGTCTAATCCGCGCCGCAATGTCACACTGGCTTACGAGCTGGCCATGGCTATGTTCTATTTGACGGGGACCCTGTTCTACGTTAGCCGAATCCCGGAGAGGTTCAAGCCTGGATGGTTCGACTTAGCAGGCCATAGCCACCAAATATTCCACGTCCTGGTAGTGATGGGTGCATTGGCTCATTATGGTGCTTCTCTTGTATTTCTGGACTGGCGCGATCGCCATAGCTGTTGAGTGATCTTCATTCATTGTAGCTTCATGCAATATATTCAAAGAATTGTACTTGAAATTTATGTATTCTTTGTTTCATTTGTTAGTGAATTGACGCAAGTTGAAGAAAAGCTTTCTTCACTTAAATATATTTGTAAACTTGTAATTTATTTGTTTCTCATTTATGATTTTATTAGGGTTTATATCTAATGCGTTGACCGTTAATAAATTCATACCAAGAATTTGACTCAATTATCGAGATGTTATATTGCCGGAGTTAAACTTAGCTCCTCATGGGTTCGGTCATTGCCGGTTCAGCCAACCACCTGATAACTGAACCAATAGCCTTCTTCGCCGGCAGTGGCCACGGAGACATTCATAAAAGCATGCTTCACCATTGGAAGGACAAAGATGAGGAAGTCCAAGTCCATGAGTACCTTCCTAAAGGCCTAGATTACAACGAACTAATGGGGAAGAGAAAATTCTGCTTGTGCCCGAGTGGCTTTGAAGTGGCGGAGTCATTTTATGCTGGATGCTTTCCAGTGATCATTTCGAATAGTTATGTGCTTCCGTTTAGTGATGTACTTGATTAGAGCAAATTCTCGGTTGTGATTCCAGTGGAGAGGATGCTGGAGATTAAGAGGGTTCTGAAAGGGATACCGGAAAAGTAATATCGGGAAATGAAGAAGAGGGTATTGAAACTGAGAAGGCATTTCGAGCTTAATAGTACGGCTAAACCTTTTGGCATCCTTCATATATGTTACTTCATTTTATATGGCTTAGAAGGCTTAACCTTAGGCTATCAGATTAACAACTTTTATCAACACTTACTGAACTCATATTCTTTTAGGTTTTATTTTTTGGTCCTTCCAACTATGTTTGAAATTGGAATTTAGTCCCTACACTTTGAATCGGACATTTTTGGTAAAATTTGACACAGCCAAAACAAAATGAACAAAAATCTATGTTCCATTTCAATATCAATATCAATGTGAAGAGGGGATTAGCTGATAACACCCTGAAGTAAAAATTAACCCTAAATATTGGAAAATGAATTAAAAAAAACAGGAAAATTATTTTCTGAACTGAACTATGCTATATGATACAGATCCTCTAAAAGGATTGCTGACCTACCTGCTAATTAGCAACTGAATGGTGGAGCACGCTGGGTTTCCTTTTGAATCGGAACCCACTGACAGAAAACGTTAGGAGGATTTATTTGACGGGAAGGAACCTGACATGAGTACAATGTTTTAACTTGGACGGAGCTTCTTGTGACTTACCAAGCACAAGATCGATGTAAATTGCAGTCATGGCGGCTTCACTACAGTTGGGTACCAGGGACAATACTTGTGTGTCAAACTGGTGTGCACGATCAACTTCACCTTGTATTGCATGCAAGGCGGCAAGATTTGAGTAAAGCATTCCACGTGCCTCTTCTGGCTTAAGAACATGAATTCCTGTGAGCTTTCAGGGGAAGGATTCCTGGCAGCTGCTGCTCCTGCGTTTGGTTCTTCACAGTCAACAGGTTTCTCCATTCGCCATTGCTCACAGTCCTCTTGACCGAATGGCGATTCAACATAATTTCCCCCGGACAAATAAATGGACAAATGCTCTGCAGCTTCCTTAGGCTTGTTAAGCAAGCAGAGGGCCTCTGCTGCATAGACATGACCTAGAAAGATGTAGATTCTCAAATAACCCGGTAGTTCTAAGAGAGATCGCGCTCTAACTCTACATATGCCAGGTTAGCTAGAAGAGCTTGCTTAATCATCTGATTTTCTCTTCTGCAAATATCTTCATAATAGGAGATGGAATTCTTAATCATCTCGGCTCCCCCCTTTGACTCTTTCAAATCCACGTTTGAGTTAACCAGCCCTAGTGACAGAGTTAAAGCCTTGGAGTCTATGCTGGGTAAGTTCTTATGGTTTGAGTTCTTGGAAGATGCCCCACCATTAGATTCATTCTCCTCCAAGGATGAATTGGAGGGTAAAACAGAATCTAAATTACTCGAATCAGAACAGTTCAACAAGATCAATGCATTATAGAGACACTACCTAAAAGGGTAATGAAAGCAAAGGCTGTTCATCTACACCTAAAACCCAATCGTCTTTCCAACAGAATCTGCAAGTTCGTTTCTGGATATTCCGTCCTCAATTAGAAGCTTCCTCCACCTTCCCTTTCCAATAACATTGACCCTAATTTCTGATCTGTTTGATGGAGTCTGACTTCCTTTTACAAGTCTTTTTTCTACAGCCATTAGACAGCATTCAGCAAAACGAAGCCACAAGAGAGGTATTTTGTAGAAAATCAAACTTGCCTTCTGGAAACCCACAATTATATGTTATCAGGAGAGATTTATCCTGTGAGAATGTTAATAGGTTTAGAGGTTTCTCCTTAAGAAGAGATGAACAATTACTAAGCGCCTTGGAAAAGAACACCGCAGAGGTATTATACTTCCCAAGTTGATAGTGAATGCAGCCAAGATTATTGTAAAATATGCTTGACATTGTTACATCTGTCCGGTTACTTGATGCCATCAACAACTTGATGGCTTTTCTATGGTTTCCACAAGCATACTCAAGCTGGGCCTTCAAGAGGAGAGCCATAGATGAATCTCTCCCTCGAGCAATATTCATGGCATACTTGACTTCACGCTTTGCAAGCTTTACATTTCTAGTTAGAAGCAGAAATCGAACCTTGTAAAGTTGCAACTTGAGCTTCGGATCAACACCAAAGGTAGATCTATCCACTATGGTCCTGCAAAGATCATTTGCAGAAGTAAGACCAGCAGACCTTGATAAGTTCTGTCCACCAATATCCAGTGAGGAAAACAATTCATCCAGTGGGTACTCAGATAGACTTCTAGATAGTGGATTCTCATAAGCATTTACATTAGCAGCTAAATCTGAAGTAGAAGCATCTGAGACCAATGAACTGCTTGGAACTGAGGATAATTTTCCAATTAGATTTGTGGACTGTTGTATTACAATGTTACCATTGTCCCCTTGGTTCACATTACCAACACAAAATGCTTTTCCCAAGTAGTCTAACACATCCTGGAAACAATTAAAATTGTTTTTGTAGAATTCAGAGTAATTCTCTGTAATTTCTTATTCTTTTCAATAAGACAGATTACATATTTATATACAAAATATCTCTCTAAAGTAGGAAACTTTAAGAAAGGAAAAATAATAATCCTAGGATATGATTCCTTAAAATAAGGGATTGTAGAAATCTATTTACAAAATCATATCTCTATAGGAATGGTAACAAATCATATCTCTATAGGAATGGTAACAAATCATCTCTATAATTCCTACACTCCCCCTCAAGCTGGAGAATATACATTGTATAATCCCAGTTTGAATAGGAATTTATTGAAAACAGGCTTTGGCAAAGCCTTAGTAAGAATGTCTGCAACTTGTTCTTCTGAAGGAGTATGAAAGTGTGGCTGTCTTTTTGTTAACTTGATCAGCAATAAAGTGCCTATCAATCTCAACATGCTTTGTCCGATCATGTTGAACTGGGTTCTTGGCAATTTGAATAGCAGATTGATTATCACACAAAACTTCAAAGTGATCCTCTTGATTAGTGACAAGTTCTTTCAGTAGTTTAAGTAGCCAAATTCCTTCGCATATTACCAATGCTAGTGCTCTAAATTCAGCTTCAACACTACTTCTTGAAACGACAGATTGTTTCTTACTTCTCCAAGTTGTAAGGTTTCCCCAAACAAAGGTGCAGTAGCCACTAGTGGATCTCCTTTAAGTAAGGTCTCTGGCCCAACTAGAATCTGTAAAGTTCTTAACAATTCTGTCTTCTGTCTTCTTAAACACTAAACCGTGTCCTGGAGTTTTTTTCAAGTACTTGAGAATTCTATTTGCTGCTGTCATATGCTCTTCAGTAGGATTAGTCATGTGTAGACTTATCACATTTACAGGAAATGCTATATCTGGCCTTGTCAAGGATAAATAAATTAGTTTCCCAACTAATCTTTGAAATTTCTCTCTGTCTACCAAGGACTCATCTTCTTTGTTAAATTTCAAGCTTGCCTCCATTGGTGTATCAATCGGCTTACAACCAAGAAAACCAGTTTCTTTGAGTAAATCAAGTACATATTTTCTTTGGTTGATCACAAGTCCTTCTTTTGACCTTGCCACCTCCATTCCTAGGAAATACATTAGCTTTCCCAAGTCCTTGGTTTCGAATTCCTTATTTAACAACTTCTTCAAATTGCAAATCTCTTCTTCATCATCTCCGGTAAGAATTATGTCGTCCACGTACACAATAAGGATAGCTTTCTTATTTGTAGAACTTACTTTGATGAAAAGAGTGTGATCGGCGAGGGATTGCTTGTAGCCGTTTTTTAGGATGACTTTAGTGAACCTCTCGAACCAAGCTCTGAGCGATTGTTTTAACCCGTATAGAGACTTGTTGAGCTTGCACACCTTGTTACTTCCTTCAACAGACTTTAAGCCAAGTGGCAACTTCATATAGACTTCTTCTTCTAGCTTGCCATTAAGAAAAACATTTTTTACATCAAGTTGGTGTAATTTCCAATCGCAATTTACAGCCAAACTTAGGAGTACTCGAACAGTATTCAACTTCGCCACAGGTGCAAAAGTTTCTGTGAAATCTATCCCATATGTTTGTGTAAAGCCTCTGGCCACTAGTCTCGCTTTGTATCGTTGGATGCTACCATTTGAGTTATACTTTACAATAAAGATCCATTTACAGCCAAAAGCCTTTTTTCCTTGAGGAAGGTCCGTAACAGTCCAAGTAGCATTTTTCTCCAGTGCACAAATTTCCTCTTCAACAGCCCTTCTCCATTTTTAATCCTTTAGAGCTTCAGCTATGCTTGTGGGAACCTGTTCTTTATCCAAGTTTGTTGTAAATGCTTGAAAAGACGGCATCAATGAATTATAACCAGCAAATTTTTCAATAGGATGCTTGGTGCATTGTCTAACCCCTTTTCTAATAGCAATAGGGAAGTCATCTAGAGTAGGGGAAGTGGACTTACTGATTTTTTCTTCTATTTCGACAGCTGGACCCAAATCCAATTCTCGGTAAGCATCAGATTGCAAAACAGCCTCAGGAATATGTTTTCTTTTCCTTGTATAGAAACGAAGCTGTTTGATTGGTGTTGTTTGTGGAATATTTTGAATGAGAGTAGGTGTATTTTCAGAAATGGTATTTAAAGTGGATATGGGTGAAGTAGTGATAGGTACTACCGGTGGATCAATGGAAGTAGTTACAGGTGACAAATCTGTAGGTAAGGACAAAATTGGTAGCAATTATGAAGGTTGAGAATGAAGAGTAGGAGGAAATACCTGATGTGGCTGAAAATCCTTCCATGTCTCCCCCTGAATTTTAGCATGAGTGAAATAGAGATCATGCTCATAAAATGTTATATCCATAGTGGTAAAAAAAATTTGAAGGAGGATGATAAGTGAAGAATACCCAACCAGTACACACTTTAATGATTTAAGATCTAACTTGGACTTATTAGGAGCAATGTTTTGGATAAAAACAGTACAACCAAATATTTTAAGTGGAAGAATGGAGGAGATAGGTTTAAAATGGGGAAAGTATTGCAGAAATATAGATTGAGGTGTTTGAAATTGTAAAACCTTACTAGGCATTCGATTGATTAAATATGTGACAATTAATAAGGCTTCCCCCCACAAATATTTTGGAACATTGGTGGTAAATAGAAGAGAACGAGTAACTTCAAGGAGGTGTCTATTTTTTCTTTCGGCAATATCGTTTTGTTGTGGGGTGTCAACACAAGAACTAATCTGAACTATGCCCTTTTCCCTGAAAAACGCACCTAAAGACTTAGCAAAAAATTCACTACCATTATCAGATTTGAAGAGCTGAATTTTAGACCCAAATTGAGTGAGAACCATGTTATAGAATTGGGTAAAAACACCTGCAGTTTCAGATTTATCTTTTAGCAAATAAGTTCAAGTTATCCTACTGTGATCATCAATGAAAGTGATAAACCACTTACAATTATCAGCATTCTTCACCCGAGAAGGACCCCAAATATCACTGTGGATCAAAGCAAAAGAGTGAGAAGGCTTATATGTAGAAGGAGAATAAGTTGATTTAGTATGTTTGGCAAGAGAGCAAACTTTGCAAGAAAAAGAATTTGGCCTTTTATGAATGAATAGAGCAGGAAAAACTTTTGCAAGATAGTGAAAATTAGGATGACCTAAACGATAGTGACATAACATACCATTATCAACTTTTTCTAAAGCGGTGAAAGATTTCGAGATTTCGGTTTTAATAGAGGCATGAAGAATATAGAGACCATTCTGCAAGCTGGCCTTACCAATCATCTTCTTCGAGTTCAGTGCCTGCAAGGTACAATCAATATCATTAAAAATTGCAGAGCAGTGCAAGTCGGTGGAAAATTTACTAACGGAAACGAGATTGCAAGCCAGATTTGGTACGAAGAGGACATTTTTAAGTATAATCTGGTCATTGAGAATAACAGTGTCATGTCATTCTATTTTGCACAAAGAACCATCAGCCGTTTTGACAACTTTACCAAAGTTTGGAAAAAATTGCAAAACAAATCTTTATTACTAGTCATATGATCCGTAGCACCAGAATTGAGGATCCAATTAAGGGACGACTGGGAGGAGAAAAAAACTGTAGCATGAGGTTTACCTTCTGGTTCTTTCATGACCAGATTACCTTCTGATTGAGCAGCAGAACAAGAAAAATTTTCTGGATTTGAAGTGATCTCTGGAGTAGGAGAAGAAGTTGTGGACATCATCTAGATTGGAAAGAAACCGTAACCTAAGCTCTGATATCATGTAGAATTCAGAATAATTCTCTGTAATTTCTTATTCTTTTCAATATGACAGATTACATATTTATATACAAAATATCTCTCTAAAGTATGCAACTCTAAGAAAAGAAAAATAATAATCCTAGGATATGATCCCTTAAAATAAGGATTGTAGAAATCTATTTACAAAATCATGTCTCTATAGAAATGGTAACAAATCATATCTCTATAGGAATTGTAACAAATCATCTCTATAATTCCTACAGTTTTAAAATCAAAGTTAAAAGATACAAACAACAATTGCGAGTAAAAGACCAACATGCTTAACAGAATTGTGCAGACATAAGACATAAGCTAGCTTTTTATCATTTTTTCCTTTCCCCACCCCAACTACAAGGACAACAGTTAAGTAATATCCATCCTACAGTGATATCTAAAGTACTTTCCTGAAAATTAGCAAGGACTGTTTCGCTTTGGAAGGAATTTCAAGTACTTGCAATACAAATATTTAGAACTTACTGCAGATTTTGAAGCATCACAGCTAGCTAGCACAACATCCAGCAGCAAGAGGCAGATATGAAGAGCTGTTGTCTGCATATTAAAGAAAAGGGAATGTTAGTACAAACCAACAATAATTAAAAGAAAATGACAAAAAATATAAAGCTAACATACCTCATCTATCGGTTCAATATTTTGATACAGAGGTTCAAGAACCGTTAATGCCTTAGCATATTCATGAAGGTGGAACCAAATAACTGCCTATAGATCAATTCACAACAAACATGTTACTCCAAGCCATCAATGAAAAGATTATTGCTTCTGAACTCTTGAAAAAACAGAAAGAAGCATACTATGTTTAGAGAAACCACAGAGGTATCAAATTCATCAATGTATATAGTACTGGAACAATGTGAAGCAGAAAATTTATGCGTAGTTGAACTGCTTTCTGTTGAACCTGAAGTAACTTTATTTCCAACATTGCTACCGGACTCCGCCTGTTCCCCAGATGCAAGAGCAAGCTCCTCGAATCTCTTCTGAGCCAACCAAGGGCAAAATCATAATAGATGTCAAAGCCATTGCAGTGAAGCTACTGGTAGTAAGCACAGTTTCTGGAATCTGAAGGTAAATGTATAAAATGGTAATTCAACTATATAAAAATGGAGGTCGAAATTGGATTATTAATCAATTGTTTCAAGGAATTTCGACGTTCGAAATTACATAATAATCTAGTAGCAGTGAGCCACAAAATACCCAACAAAACAGCAGAGAATAAACTTCAAATCCCAACTTAAAATAAATAAAACAGAAAAGAGCTAAGAAATGTATCGAGGCAATCACATCCGTTAATGAAACGAATCCATGAGCGTAAAATTTTGAAATACCTTGCCTTAGGATCATCTTCTCTCTTCAGCTTAAGCTGAGCCAATACATCAACGCACTCGGAGAACTTTCTGGACTGGAAGTAAAGAGCGGCATCTTTAGCGAATGCAGCAGTGAAGGAGAGGACTCCTTCGTCTCCGTCATCGGTACCATCTCGATTCGGAGCCGTTGAGGATGATGAATCTCGCGAATCCATGACCAGAGCAGACCAATCAAACTGGCTAAGAAAATTAAAATAATAATAATAATAATAATTTCTTGTAACAAAACAAATGCCGTCCGCTTTCAACAAAATCTCATTTGTGGAATATTTTTCGTAAAATAATCGTCAAAAATTAAAAAATAAATATAACAAATATTAAAACCTGGTCAACCAAATTGGGGAAAAGGTTTTTTTTTTTTGTTTTTTTAATCTAAATGATTAAACTGACCGAGTAGGCAGTGATAGAATAGTTTCGTGTTGCATGAAAGATTATGAAGTACTTTTATCTATTTTGTTTTACTCGTTTCGTTAAGTTTGTTTATTACTTTTATTGCATGCATTTTTTGATTAATTTAAGTACTTTTATTTATTAAAAAAAATCGTGCCACGAATAGATTTTAAAACTCTTTATGGGGAGGGAAAACATAGATAATTTTTTTCTATTCTTTTATTAGATTTAAAAAATATATATATATATTTTGATCTCGGTGAGAATATTGTTCTCCTAATAACAAGTACAATAAATTTATTTAGATTTATATCCAAACACAATTACTACCCTTTTATCTTATTTGTACATATATACATAAACAAACATCATCATAGCGATAAGTTGATGTTACTACAATTCAATCGCGTCTATCTTCTCCACATCTCCAACATGGCTTCCGAATCTCGAATATCCTGGCTGTCTTGCGACTCCTCGTTTCCCTGCGAAAAGTCGAGACTAGTATAAGTTCGGATCCCGGGACCATGTCCATTGCAGTCCCTCTCCCTTGTTGTGCTCGTCTTACTTCCTTTTGATGCTCTGTTAGTTCCACTCTTTTTCGTTTTGAATTTAATGGTGGCTTAACTCCAGCAATCATACCCTCCTCTGTCAACTCTACTCACTTCGAGCTCCTGTTCTGTGTTGCAGTGATCCAATTCTTGTAGAGGCTTATTCTTCCAATTCTTGACAACTTGTGTAACAACTTGTGCAGAACATGAAGCAGATTTTGGGGATACTCCAAGTTTATTTGCTTGCCATATGTGGAGTTCCAAAAGATTATGGTCTCATCAGAAATGGAGGTATTCCGATGATCCAGTGTTTTCTCGAGGAACGGCATTTTAAGTTTGAGGAAAGATGAATTGAAAGTTGGTAGAGGCTGACTCCTCCGTAAACAATTGAGGATCTCATCCCAGAGGGTTCTGAGTTGATCTTTGACATTTTCATCCTTTATATCTTGATGCGATAACCATTGAAACAGTGAACCGGATATTATCTGCAGTTTTTTCATTCTGAAATGTTATATTACTCGGATTCGGGTGAGTGACAAATATAAATGTGTCCAACGCAGACATGTACACTTTTTTTGTCTAAGCTTTCCTTGTATTTCGAGGATCCTTGGAAGGTCATATTCATTCTCATATCCATGTCCCAATATAGTTGAAATATAAAAATGCATTGGATGTGAGTGTAAGAAAAATGAAAAGTAAAAGCAGTATAGTTGAAATGTGCTCGTCTCTCATTCATGGTTCCATCAAAACTTGTTTGAAAGAAAATAATACCTGCTCAATTTCAGAATGAAAGGGATTACATCGATTTAACTAATGTGCTTGGGCTTATGCTTATGTATTGATCAGCTATATATTGAGAATAAATCCGATTCAAGAGAGTAAATGATGTTTTTCCTCAGCATCTACTGCTAAATGATAAACACAAAGCAAAATACAAACCTCAAAAAATGACAGAATATCTTGCTTCGAGTGAAGGCAACTAATGAAGCGAGTCAATGCAGAAAATACCCTGAAATCGACTCACACAAGAGACATGTAAACAATTTATAAAAGAAAAATCTCAACATGAAGCATAAATAAGCAAGAGGAATATTTACCTTGAATTCACAATACCCGAGGATTGTTCCTCTGCCATGTTTATGTACAAGAATTTCATGAATGTGCAAGATTTTAAGCGACAAAGAAACAACAGCTTATAAGATTGGGGTGAATATTAAGCAACCTAGTCGTCAATAGTTTACATGAAAAAATGTGCATTCTTGGTAATAGAATAAACAAGTAAAATTCTTATTTTTTCTGTCACAAATATCAGATAAACTATGTGGCTAAATTCTTGTGTAGATCATGGTTCAGTTGGATTATTAGACCTTTCTGCTTTTATTTACCCTACAGATGAAACTTCTCCATGGTTAGGACAGCAATGTAAGTAGCTAAATATTGAACATTTCATCCATAAAAATGATGCACTCTTAATTTGAAAAGGCAAAATGGGCTGGAAATCGTGATGAGACAAACTCACAAAAGGGCTTTTTCAAGATCCCGTACAATTTCTGAGCAATTCAACTAAGAAAGACATCAGAATGTGAACCTCATGCAGGTTAATGACGACTTTAGGAACATGAGTAGTTTTAAATGCTTTAATTTACCTGGAAGAAAATTAAAAAATATTGATAATGCCACTGGACTCATTATATACAACACATTCTTTTCCACTTTCACCTGTATCTGAAGTCGGTTTATGTTCCAAAATACATACCAAAACATTGCCAGAGAAAAGAATGCAAGAGAACTCCAGATCCTTGTAACGTAAACCAAGCTCGCTATTATACCGAAATATGCTACTGTTTTCATCCAAACACGAATTTAACATTGCACACAGATCACCACCAAGAGTGTTTGTAGTAGACAACTTAAAGAATGCAGCACAAACAGAAACATAAAACGATTTCCAAATCTCAATAGCCTGTTCAAGTCTTCTCTCTGATAAAATAAAAGATTCTTTCAGGGCGTCACCAGAGTTCAACAGGGTTAAATCTTTCTCAGAACAAGAGAACAAAATGAATGGATATGATAAGAGATGGCGGATGGCCCTATAAAATGATTTGCCAGAATCTGTTTTGAATAGGGAGAGATCCTCCATACCATCAATATAGCCATTAAGACATGTCACCATTGCCATCCATATCTCCATGTACATAAAACCCATGTGCCCATATAATAAACCAACAGAAGCAAGAAAACTTTCCAGGGGATCATCAGAAGACAGTACGGATTTATAAAAACTTTGAAGCCTCTGTAAAATCAATTCCATCTCAGGTGTATTTATAGTTAACTGAACCACCAAAGTGAGGTAGAGTACAGTTAGATTAAACCATGGGTGAAACCATATCCATAAAAGAACACTGGTGCAGTACTTTTGAACAATTAACTGAATCCAGAGTGCCAACATAATTGATGTCTAAAGCCACCTTGTAAAGAGGGGATTCCATAATAGAAGGTTCTAATTCATCCACAGCAGCCTCTATTAAAGAAAGAGAAGTGTTAAACAAGTCACCAACACCTTCTGAACTAGCATCTTCGCCTACTTTTTTTGTGAAACTAAATATTATATTCAAACAGAACATAATGTTATCATAATTATTTAATGGGTTTCTAAACTCCATTTGCACTCCCTTTAAAACAGATCTAAATATCCTGACAGCTGCATCACACGCTGTTTTTCTGCTTTCTGGGGAAATTGTTGCAGTTGCCACATGAGTAATGATAATAGCAATCATCTTAAAGTAGAAATCCAACTGACTAAATAGGAATTGCTTCCATGAGTACCTTCCAGACCCGGGAATTATGGTTCTGGCTGAAAGACGAAGGTTTATCTGGTCCTTTGGATCAGAGATCAAATCTGAACACTTTGCTGATATACAATCTAGAAGCAAATCAAGGCAAAAATTCCATAACTGGATACTTTTACTATCTGGGCCCATCTTTAAAATTGCTTGAAACATAGGATCCAATACCACTTTAATTATTGGAGTTGATGGAGGTATCAAGCTTATGTAGGAGATAACACCATGTGTTTAGGCAGGATGAGAGAACAGATATATCACATTTACTTGAAATGATTCCCGTTAGAGGTGTCATTGTGAGCTTTAAGCTTTTTGAAAATCCATTTAACATCAATTCACTGCTTTTTCCTGAGGATGTTTGTAACTGTTGACTTGCATTCCTTTTGCAGTACAGTATTTGAGGGTGAACCAGCGCATCGATAAGACCTTGCCAGGCAACCTGCAAAATCAAGACAAACATTTTAAGGAAGATGTTCAACAAGCTATGTATACTTCCAAAACAAATTATTTTAAAGCCATTAGTAAAAAGGTAATAAACAAAGCTGTTTGATCCTGAAACACCTTAAACCAGTCTGCTTAAAGGCACATTACAAATTAACATTACACAATTCAATCCCTTCAGATTTTGAACATATCAAAACTTGGACTTGGCTGTCACAGAGGAGCCAACATATAGGGATGCTAAACAATTTTCTGTGCATGTATGGTTTAGTTGTTGGATCCTGTAGTTAGACTTCCTGATCTCTAGATGAATTATGTCCAAGATCTTTCATATTTAATTATGACGAAAGAATATGCATCTGTCTATATCATATGATAGACAGCTGAACTGTGAAACAACAAACCAAGAAAATACATGCGTTCTTATTTGAGTTATATGGCTTTGTACAAGAGATTGTCAAATAGATAGGATAATTCATTTGAGTGAATAGAAGTTCTTGTTCTGCTTTTGTACTCACCTATTTATTGAATAAAATGTTATTAGCCTTTCAATGAAAAAAAATTAAACTAAAATTTTATCAGTGATACCAGAGAAGCAATCTGGACTTGTGGGTTGTGATCTGAAAATGTTTGCTCCAGAACCTTCAACATATCATTTACTAAATGTCTGTTCTTCAAGGCACCAGATCCTAGGAAGCTGATAAACCACCCCCACGCAAGGACAGTTTGAACTTTCATACCCTTGTCTAACCAGTCCTTCATCCCCGTCAGCAAATTTTTCCTCACATCTTCAATAATAGCCTGTTTCAGAAAGATGAAGCACAAGTGATCTAAGATTATAAAATTAACCATGCAATGTTGCAAAACACCTTGAAATAAGTTTTATGATATTATATCTTGAAACTGGAGGAAAGTGATTAAAATTCTGAGGAGCTTAACAAACAGATTTGTGTTTGCCCTTTCAAAATGCAGTTTCTATCATAAAAGCACACTACACGTATTCACTTCGAAAAATAGAAATGGGTCATGGTAAAGTGAACAACAATAACAATAAACCTGAAGCATGCAATTAGTCTAACCTCCGTCAATAAGTCTGAAGGGAAAAAAACATACCAAGATATATATGGGTAAATTTTTTCGTGCCATCATTCACAGCATGTTATATGCACACTTTGGATAAATAAGGAAACATTTAAAAAGAAAAAGGGGGGAAATGCAGTAGAAATGTCAAGTGCACAAATACCAGCTGGATGTACCTTTGAAAGACTTATTGGAGCAGGAAGTATTGTAGACTTAATTTTCAAAAGACACCTCTCTGACATATCTCGCTCTCTCTTATCAATGCTGAGAAGTCTTCTATATATTGGAGGAGCCCATAAGTGTGATGATTCTCGCATCATTTCACTCATTTGGGCTTTTAACTTTGCCACAGCCTAAGACAGGTAACATATAATAATTAGTAGATACAACAAACTCAGAGTTAACCCCACATCTTTAACCACAACAGATATCGTAGGTCATTTTAATACATTCTATGAAGGAGAGAATACCAACAAAGCCGTGATATTGAAACAATGAAAAGTAAATGAGTCTCTTGATTAAATTTGCTAATAAACCAATGCAATATGAAAACCCCGCAGAGAGGCCTTGGCGAACCACCGAACTTGATTATCAAACCACCAAAGAAATAACTATACCTGCTGTCTCAAACGTAGTTGACAATGAGCCACTAGGGTTATAAAGGGCATGAACAACCGCCGCCAGCAATGAATCAAAGCAGGCAGCTAAAAGTGGTGTATCAAATTGTTGCATAGATATACACCACACGCCTAAATTACAAACTGACTGCCATTAGGAGATGAACAAGTTCAAAGTCACTAACAAAAAGTAACAAAAGTGTTTAAGGGGAGAAGAAAAAAAGGAACCTACTATTGTTCTAGTGAAAAGTTATTTTACCTTCATTTTTGTAACAGTGATGAGTTTAGCCAATGACTCTAAAACCAGTTTTACATCTTCAGCTACAACAAGAACAGCACCAAAAACAAAAGAAATCAACAAGAAATTAAAATTTCAAGGTATTTGTAAGTAAAAATTAAAAATAATTACCAGGAATTGCAGCAGTAAGAGAAGGATGATAGATCATATACCCAAAGCACTTAAAGGCTTGAGCAGCTCTGCAATCAACCAAAAAAATACATAAAAGCAAATAAAATAAAATAAAATCATATCAAATCAAAAGGAAAATTGTTATCAAGTTTTACATTTTTTTGATCTTCATGGTGGATATCAGAGAGGATTAAATTTATAAGACAATGAGAACTTTGAATTAGGGCTTGGATTGAAGGAGGACTGTCACTGGACTGTTATTGGAAGTGTAAAAGAGTTGAATAACCGAACGATCGGTCTGCTTTTGAATTATATGATATTAAGGCTTTGATTTCTTCCATCTGACCTCCGATAGTCGACATTGTCGAAACAATTGTTGCTTGTGAAATTGAAGGAAGTGAACATAAAAAAAAGGAAGTCTAAAAGGTTACAGTCTGGGATTTTGAGCTTTGCACCAATTTTCGCGCCAATTGGTATTGTGTTCGCGCGGTAGGCAAAGTACTGTTTGGGGATGTGAAGTTGAACTATTAGCCAAGCCCAACATTAGCCCGTTTAAAAATGGGCTTGGGTTGAGTTTCAATATTAAATATTCACGTCAACTTGTTTTTTATTTTTATATATTACATAATTTGTTTAATATAATACGAATCAAGTGATCTCAGTGATTAAAGTGATAATTGTTATCTCAATAGGTTATTGGTGTGAGTACATCGTCTGTAGAGGTGTTTAAGCTTTCTTTGTCGAATGATTAAGAGTTTTTCGAATATATACTATTTTGTAATAACTTCAAACTAGTAAAAAAATAATTTATCCAATATGAAATTAAAATTTAAATATTATAATATAAATTCATAAAAAAATTAAATATATTTTTATTACTATCAAATATGTCTCATTGGTATATCGGTCTATATTAAATACTATAAAAATCATTATGAGGATACTATAAAACAATTAAAATCTCTTTTGAGTGAATATTTTTATTTTCAAATACTATATTTTTAATTTACAATATAATGTATAAAATAAATATTTTATATTTTTAAATTTACTTTTTAATAATAATTAGATTTTAAACTATAATTTTCAAAATAAAAATGTTTTTTACAATATTTTTTAAATTACTTTTCAAAATAATATCAAACTTGGGTTAAAAGGGGTATATTAAGGGGTTTTAATATAGGCATAAGAAAATAAATTGGAAATAAACAGACAAGTAACGGGGGAAATGAGGGGAAAGACAGAGTCGTGGGTTAAATCGAAAGGACCAAACGAGCTTGAATGGTGTCCGGCATGGCGTGTTTTTCGATTTCTGTGTTGTTGGAACAATTAGATAGATAGCGTCAGTGATATCCTAACAGCTGAGTGCATCCATTTCCATGCGACTGTCCCCCTTCTCTTACACGTGCCACCCCTACTTTTTGTTGCTCCACTTGTTCGGGTACTCCACTTCCTTTCAATTAAGGGTGGTTCTGCGGTGCGGCGCCTAAAAAACGGCTAATATACGGTGTGACCGATTAAACAAGTGACCGGTTAAAATTTAGACCGGTTATGTTATATTATTTAACCGGAAATATTATAAAGTACAATAACATACTAGGTAGCGCTTATATAATGTAATAGGTAGCGCTTATATTTACCTATTTTATAAGTAAACCGGTATATTTATACCGATAGCATTGCAAATTTACCTATTACATTATATTATATTGAAAGTGTCCATACTTTTTATAAAAATGATCGATACTTTAACAGTGTTTCATGTTTTCTACCTACAATATTAATTTAATAATTTCATTTGCACAAAAAATTATTTGATTGTTTTGATATTTTATAAAATAATATTTAGAATTTTTAATTTAATAATAATATATATCGTAACGTAAAAAATAAATCATTAGACGCCTATAATTACTAAATTAATATCTTAAAACTCACTCAAAAGATAACCTTAAATTAATGTTTTCCACAGTGAAAAAAGTATGGACACTTTTATAAAAAGGATAGACACTTTACAATATAACCACTACCTATTACATTATATAAACGATACCTATTACATTATATAAGGGCTACCTATTACATCATATGTTTACCTATTATATTGAAAGTGTCCATACTTTTTATAAAAAGGATCGATACTTTTTTTAAAACTTATGTAATTTATGTTTCAATTTTTTTAACAGTGTTTCATGTTTTCCACCTACAATATTAATTTAATAATTTCATTTGCACAAAAAATTATTTGATTGTTTTTATATTTTATAAAATAATATTTAGAATTTTTAATTTAATAATAATATATCGTAACGTAAGAAATAAATCATTAGACGCCTATAATTACTAAATTAATATCTTAAAACTCACTCAAAGGATAACCTTAAGAACACTTGAAGAAGCAAGAGAACAACTATCCAAGCAATCAAAAACGAGAAAATCCCAACATGATAACAACTGAACATATCATATCAATGTTCAAACTCAAGTTGTAGATTTTGATTTCCTTTTGCTTGGCATCATATGAGATTTGGATTTTGATTTCCTTTTGCTTGGCACCATATGAGCTTTGGATTTTGATGAGCATCGGAAGTATTTCAGACTTATGATTTGGGTGGTACTCAACTTATGATTTTAGTTGCTATTTGTTACATTTCTTGTATACCACCCAGATCATACGCCCGAAACGTTTCTGACGCTTTAAAGTTGACCAAAAATAAAATGGTCGGGATTTCCCTCGCGTTTATACGTTGGAAAAAAAACAATGGAAATTAGGAATAATCAATGATAACATGCATATTGGCTTGGGCTAATATTTATAGTGGAGCCGAAATATATATTGAAATTCAAACTCAAATTGAAATTTAAATTCAAACTCCAATTACATATGAAATGAATTTGAAATGCAGTGTTAAATTGAACATGAAAATTGCATAATTGATTCATACTGTTCAAGTAACATGCTTTATGAACCATCAAGCTAAAAGACAATATTGATTGAGTTCAAAGCTGAGTTGTGAGTTGATGGAGTTGTCACACTTGTCACATGGTTGGAATAAAGTACTCACATGAGAGATAGATTGTTTTGTTATACATAACCCATCTCAACGAAATTAATCCAAATAATGTACCCATAACAATGTTCAATTAATGTACCCACAACAATGTTTAATTGATTTGTTGTTTAATTTTCAATTTGAATTATTTGATTTAATAATTTCATTTGCACAAAAAATTATTTGATTGTTTTGATATTTTATAAAATAATATTTAGAATTTTTAATTTAATAATATATATCGTAACGTAAAAATAAATCATTATACGTCTATAATTACTAAATTAATATCTTAAAACTCACTCAAAAGATAACCTTAAATTAATGTTTTCCACAGTGAAAAAAGTATGGACACTTTTATAAAAAGGATAGACACTTTACAATATAACCACTACCTATTACATTATATAAACGATACCTATTACATTATATAAGGGCTACCTATTACATCATATGTTTACCTATTATATTGAAAGTGTCCATACTTTTTATAAAAAGGATCGATACTTTTTTTAAAACTTATGTAATTTATGTTTCAATTTTTTAACAGTGTTTCATGTTTTCCACCTACAATATTGATTTAATAATTTCATTTGCACAAAAAATTATTTGATTGTTTTTATATTTTATAAAATATTATTTAGAATTTTTAATTTAATAATAATATATACCGTAACGTAAAAAATAAATCATTAGACGCCTATAATTACTAAATTAATATCTTAAAACTCACTCAAAAGATAACCTTAAATTAATGTTTTCCACAGTGAAAAAAGTATGGACACTTTTATAAAAAGGATAGACACTTTACAATATAACCACTACCTATTACATTATATAAACGATACCTATTACATTATATAAGGGCTACCTATTACATCATATGTTCACCTATTATATTGAAAGTGTCCATACTTTTTATAAAAAGGATCGATACTTTTTTTAAAACTTATGTAATTTATGTTTCAATTTTTTTAACAGTGTACTGCGAATTTAAAATGATAATATACTTGTAGTTATTGTACATACCTAAATATGTACTGCGAATTTAATGTTGTACCCACCCTTTAACTACAGAAACATGTTCAAAATGAACCTTCGTTTACATATCCATCAACTCCTGGAGCACTGAACTTGCACAACAAAATTTTTGCCATGGATAATACTGATGTAGACAATGTTAAGCCAACCGAGGAATGCCATGAAGTACATAATGTTGATGAATCTGACAGATTGGTTGGTCAGCTCTTCTGTTCACGTGATCAAGCTTGGCACTTTTACAAGGGATTCGCACGGGAACATGGGTTTAGTGCACGTAAGGGAACAACACGGCTTGACGTGGAAGGGAATGTGAAGACACAAGAATTTTGTTGTTCCAAAGAAGGGTTTCGAGTATCAAAAGTCAATACTGTTGATCGTCAACGTGCTCATACGCCAGTCACAAGAACAGGATGTAAGGCTAGAGTCGTAGTTACAGCAACAAATACAAACGATCAGTGGGTTATAAGTAAGTCTGATCAGAAACATAATCATGCATTGTGCACATCTGTTATGACACCATTTATGCGTTCTAATCGAGCTGTAAGTAAGGCTGATATCGATGAGGCAACAACATTGAAAGAGGTCGGTGTTGGCACGTCACAAGTAATGAACTATTTAACGCAGCAGGCAGGGGGCTATCATAATGTTGGATTTACACATAAAGACCTCTACAATGCACTTCAAAGAGGTAAAGCAAAGGAAATCGTCGATGGGGATGTGAATGCGCTTATTGCCTACTTTGATTATAAGAAACATGATGATCCCGGGTTTTTTATGACATACTCGGTAGACGAATCGGGGGCATTGTATAATCTTATTTGGTCGGATTCTACATCGAGATCGGATTACACATGCTTCGGTGATGTAATTGCGTTCGACACAACGTACAAAGATAATTTGTATGGTCGACCAATTATGCCTATTGTTGGTGTCAATCATCACCATAACACAATTGTGTTTGCCACTGCCATAATCGCTGACGAAACGTCTCAATCTTTCGAGTGGGTGCTACAGAATTTTTTAGAAGCCATGATGAATAAATCACCTATTTCTGTTGTAACCGATGGGGATAGGGCAATGCAGAGGGCTATCAAATCTGTTATCCCTTATGCTAAGCACAGATTATGTTCTTGGCATCTTTCTCGCAATGCACAAGCTAACATTGGTGACCCAAAGTTTACAGCAGCATTCTCAAAATGCATGGCTTCCTGGTGGACAACCAAGGAATTTGATATTCAATGGCGTTCGATTGTTTCAGAATTCAACGTCCAAAAGCATCCATGGGTGATTGAGAAGGGAAATACACGACACTTATGGGCACAAGCATATCTAACCGGTCATTTCTTT